CTATAACATTACCGACACAACCATATAAGTATAAGTTTAATGAATTACCTGAAATACCGAAGATTAAGAATATTTCTATTTCTATTGAAGATGAATGGAATACTGAAAGCATTTGTAAAAAAGTTATTAAACAAAATCCAGTAATTATTAGGGGCAAATTTCCGGGCACAGGCAAGAGTTATATAGGTCAGCATTTCCAAAAGATGAATAAGAATGTATTATTTGTAGTGCCTACCAACCGACAACTACAAGAAATACAAGATAAAGGAATAGAAGCAACAACATATAACAAGTTTTTTTGCATTGCCGTTCATGAAGATGCCGGAGAGAAATTACCAATTTATGATTATTCGCCTTATGATGTAATAGTGTTTGATGAGATTTATATTGTTGAATTTATACACTTTGAATAAAGTTTGGCAGTTTATGGAAAACAGCACTCATATTATCAGAATTGCTACTGGCGACGTGAAACAATTAGAAGGGGTGGAAACCATGACAAACTGCCAAGACCCCGCAACATACATTGACAACTGTATAGACACAATGTTTAAATATAATATTTTCTTAAAAATATGTAAGAGAGTAGGAGCAAAGGACAGCGTAGAAGGAGAAAGAAACAGAAAAATATTAAATGATATGTATAATGACTGGTGGGAAAACAACATTCCACGCAAAGAGTTTATACTTAAATACAGTTATTTAACCGATGACATCATGGCATCAGAGCATAATATCGCTTATACCAATATGAGATGCGAAAATGTAGCAAATGAGATTAGAGACAGATTAAACATAAGTGAGAAATATGTAGTGGGTGATATTTTGGTTTCCAGAACATGGATTAAACAACCAAGGGTTAATATCAATTTGAGATACAGGATTACAAAGATAGAAGATGATGAAACAGGAAAACAAATAGCATTACGGAATATAGCAAGACAAGAAGATGAGTTTATGTTGTCTGAACCTATTGTAGATAAAAACTTCATCTATCCTTACTGTGCTACTTGTCATTCAAGTCAGGGGTCAAGCGTAAAGGAAAGCATAACTATTCACGAATGGGACTTACCCATAACCAGCAGAGAGTGGATATGGACGGCATTGACTCGCTGTGTTGATTTTAGGAAAGTTAAATTTTATTGTAATCCAGACTTTGATAAGCAAATGGATAAAAATATGATAATGATATATGTTAAAAACAAAGTAGAAAATTATAAGATACAAGACCGTCGCGCTCAAAGAGAAATTAATGAGGAAGAATACATTAGTGCTGAATGGTGTTTATCACAGTTTCGCGCCAGATGCCAAAAGTGTAATACTTCATTTAACTTTGAATCGATTAAAGGTAAATTATGTAGCAATTTTACTTGTCAGCGCCTTGATAATTCAATCGCTCACCATATAGATAATTCAACTTCATTATGTGTATATTGTAATGTTTCAGCTCATTAAGATTTTAATATGTTTTATATTAAAATCTAAGTTTTAGACTAAAAAAGGTTTAAAGAAATAATACCTATATATAGTAGAGAGTAATGAAGGAACAAGAAGTAAATAATTATATCAATAAGAAATGCTATGACTGTTGCCACTTCAAAAAAGAACATATGGAATTATACAAAATGAATTTACCTAATGGAATAGTTAATAATACTATTGATTATGCTTTGGGTGAAGAAGATGAATGTAAAATTTGTCAGGAATGGAGAGATAATCAAGAATTAATCAGATGTCATTTAAATCTGAAAAGAAGACATAATAGAAATGTTGAAGACGACATTATAATATTTTTAACTGTGTATGAAAGACCACCTTATAGTTATGTTAGAATATTTCTCAAAATCAGTAAGAAAAAGTATGAACTGATTAACCACATTTTATGGATATTGTTACATCGTAGAAGAGAAGGGTGTGATTTAAAAGAAGACATTAAATCAGAAATTGAAAGCAAAAGTTTAATGTGAAAAATACCGTGAGAGATATCAATATTATTTTTGAACTGATGCATGACAGACGTAAGATATATACACAATTTAATAATCATCAATTAACTTATTATCCTGAACTTAAATTATAAATAATATTATCAATATAATAAATCTTAATTTATTATATGGATAAACAAAAAATAATTAGTGATATTTATTATGATAAAAGCGGTTATGGCAGTAAAGGAATAACGTTGAAAAATGCCAGACAGAAAGATAAAACTATTACTGCGGACGATGTAAATGAATTCTTTAAAAAGAATGTTGAGGAAAAAAGGAAAATGCGAGGGCAGAATAGTTTTGTTGCTCCACACTCATTTTGGGAATTCCAGTTGGATTTGTTTTTTATTTCTAAAAGTGATTTGGAAAATCAAAAGTTTAGAATTGGACTAATATTGATTGATATATTTAGTAAATATGCTACTGTAATACCTATTGCAAGTAAGCAACCGCCAGACGTATTAGCAGGAATAATGGAAGGCATTAAGAAAATGGGCGGAAAACCCAAAATGATATACAGCGACGAAGAAGGCAGTTTGTTTAGTTCTACCATTACAGATTATCTTGATGAGGAAAAAATTGAATTACACACCACGAGAGGACACCCTGCTTTTGGAGAAAGATTTATTAGAACCTTTAAGGATATGCTTTTTAAAAGAGTTGATGCTGATGAAAAGAAAGGTAGAAACAATATACAATGGATAGATTACAATTTAGAAATATTATTGACATATAATAATAAATTAGTAAGTTCCGTTACGAAAATGACACCATTAGAAGCAAGGAAAAAGAAAAATGAGTTTGAGGTGAAACTGAATATATCAATGAATGCCAGAAAAAACCCGTGTGTATCCTGATTTAGATGTAGGGGACAAAGTCAAGATAATGAGGAAGAAAGCGATTAGCGAGAAAGAGAGAACCAGTCATTGGTTAAGGACAGTCCATACAATAACCAAAATAGAAACTAAATTGGGTCAGAAGTATTATCATGTTGGTGATTTTCCCAAACCTCTATTGCGACATGAAATGTTGAAATTATAGCTTTAGACTAAAAAGGTTTAAAGAAATAATACCTATATATATTAGTGATAAATATGGTTGTATTTACAGAGGTTGAACAGGAAGAAATTATCAATGAATTCTTAACTTATAGTGAACAACAGGAAACTAAAATAATTGATGAGTTTTTGAGTGATAATGATAATAAAACAGAAGAATAAGATGACAGTTACGGATTTGTAACTGAAAAACGATTAGAAAAGGAAATTACAGAACATCATAAAATGATAAACAATATTGAAACGAAAAATTACATTCCATTAAAACATGCAATGATAAAATATATGGAACAAACCAACAACCAACACATAATTAGAAATGCTGGAAATTATTCATACAGTCAAAATACATCCAATTGGTGGTATGTAAGCTTTAGAGAGTTTGAATGGTTAATCGAAATGAAAAAGAATGGCAACAGATGGGTTTGTAGCAAAGAAAAATTAGATGCAGTTGATTTTAACATATTGTATAAATATAGAATGTTTAGAAGAAGAATTGATTAATTATAAAAAACGAATGAACCAGACCTTGCCCATAATATGTCTACAAAATGTGTGATAAAATTTATTGTAAAATAATTTATCATAATTTTTGGAATAATATTTTTTGAAAATTTTGTAAAACTATATTTTCTAAAATTTATATTTTAAAATTTATATTTTAAAATATGGATGAACTTACTAGGAAATTACCTGCTTTGAAATGTTGAAATTATAGTTTTAGACTAATAAGATAAAATTATTAGATTTATTCAATATATTTGTAATTGTTCTTTGTGTTGTTCCTTGTTTGGTTTTTTGTTTGGTTTGTTGTTTGGTGTTTTTTTTCTATGAGGGTCTTACCCCTAAGCTCGTTATGGTTTTGGTATGGTTGATTTGGGAGGCAGTTATTAAATGGGGTGAAAACCATAGGGGGGAGTCTATGGTATTTGCTTGTGGGTAAGCTCCTGCTTGCTGACTTTGCCATTTCCAGGATCAAACCAAGAGAAGCCGGACACTTTTTCTGCTTGAACAGAATGGCGGACCTGTTCCAGTGGATGGTTCAAGGGCTTCTTGAAACCAACCGGCTGAAACAGAGGGTGGCCTTTTTTTCCAGGTTCCTGTAGCAACGCCGCGTGACCAATCCAAACTTTGACACGTGTCCCAAGCAGTTGGGGGAGAAGTACTTTGTTCAACGGGCAAATGGATATTTGACAATCAACCACATTGGACCCACAATCAATATCTGGGTAGATGAAGGTTCAGTAGATGTTGCCAATTTTGTGTGATTTGACATAATTTTGAATTGATTCCTTTTGCATCAGGTTTTGCTTGCAACTCAAGCTGGAAATTCCGAGTATTCGCACCCCTAACAGTCAAGTGGGGAAGCGGGGGCCCTATGAATGACGTTTCCCCATCCAGTTTCCCTTTTACAAGTCAGGTAACGTATTGGACGAGGGGGACGTTCCGTTGCGCAGATTGTTTCACAGCAAAACCAACAGGCTGCCAACCACCTGGAGGGGGGTCCCCCATTTTGAGAAGCCCCCAGGTTGCTGGGGATTTGTTCGACTTACCGGAGGTGGCTAAGTCTGTGTTGGGGTGGTGGCGATGTTGCAACAATGAAGCGATTTGCCTATCTGTCTATCTGACCTGTCTATCGGTCTATCGGTCCATTTGTGCATTAATCTGTCCATGTGTCTATCTATCTATGTATTGATACTTCTATGTGTATTCTTCTATGTTCTGAGTTTTCCCGACAAGCAGTTGGGTTGTCAAAAGCACTGCTGTGTCAACATGCCGAAAGGGGATGCCAAAACCAAGCCCTTCTCAGGTCTGCGGTTTAATATGCCCAAAGTAGATCACCGGTGCGGGGTTCCCAAAATGAGAAATGGACCACCAATTGCCATGTGTGTTCAGTTAATGTTGGAGTTAGTATAATGGAACCCTGCCCACCCAGACAACCTTTCACCAGGTACTTGGAAGATACCGGCGCCTTTTTGGGCGCCTTTCCCGACAGCACGGCGGCGGCAGTCACCGCAGTGGGCGCTGCGGTGACTGCCTTCCTCGACAGCCGCAGCCGGGCGTTGCCGCTCGAAGTGATCCGGGTGGTTGGGTCCGTGGCTGCGGGATTAAGCTTACTCGGTGGCATTTTCCTGACACCTGTTTACTTGGGCTGGCTTCGACGATGAGCTGGAGGGTTTGAAAGATGTGAAACCCAATCAGGGCCCCTTTTGGAAGCACAGGGGATTCCACGCAAAAAAGGGGGAACCTCAAGCTAAAGTGGCCGGGCTTATTTGTCCAGGCGTGATTTTTTTTTCACAGGCTGGGCAGGGTTCCGTGAGACAAACTCCTTCAGCAGACTGAAACGCATGGGGTGGTGAGTTTCTCATGTTGGCAACGCCGAAGCGGAGCTCTACCTTTAAGACGCTTGCAGACCTGGGCAGTGTTTAGGTTCCCAGAATAATTGCGCCTGGTGGTATCAAATGAAGTGGTTTTGGTACTTGGGGTCTGTTCGGCCAAGATAGGAAGAAGGGGTTTTGGTACTTGGGTGTGTGGAAAAGATCAAGATTAGTAACAAGTATACTAAGTTTTTCGAGCTGCACTTGGGGGACTAAGTTTTTCGGTTGCGACCTGGGTTACTCACCACTTGGCACATCGAACACCCGAGAACAGTTGGACCATGTTGGATCCCTTAGATTCCAAGGGTTGAACCTGGATTGGATCCCAACCCTTTGAACCGCCCAGAAAAACAAAAGGGCCTTCCTTTTGAGGGCGGGACTTCTGGAACATGAAAAAACAGGGTTGATGGATTGGGGGGGGGCTGGCAATTTACCCAGATCATTTGGCTATGTGAAGTAATTACAACGGTTTTTCTGAGTGGGGGAACATAAAAGGGGGCATCTTTCAAGTGAGGAATGGACGTGCAAGACCAGGCGATTGTCGCAAGAAGGGGGGCGAAGTCAAGCCTGAATTGTTGTTTTAATTTGGCCTTCAGGACCCTAAACCCCAACCGAAAACAGCGACCGCTTGCTTCAGACTTTGCGGTGACAGCTTTCGTTCTTTGGGATGCCTGTTGGTCACCCGTGTCTTCTATGTTGCCTATCTGCCCACAGAACAGCTTTGATAAGCAGGTTTTGGTAAGCAAATGGTGTTCTTATTTCACATGGGATTGTCTTGCAAGAGGGGTCCACTAGACCGTGAATCACTTTTTGGGTTCACCTGGACAAACCATCCCAAAAAAGGTCCCTGTTTTGCTTGACATTGCTTGTAATGAAGTCACAGGTCTGCAGTCAGTGTAAAACATAGCCAATATGTTTTTGCCGATCAGCGCGCTCTTTGCTAGTCAAACGGCGGATGCTTCAATGGGGGAAAGCAAACACCGCGCGGGTAAAGGAGGAAGTCATGGAACATGTTGGTGGCGAAATGGTGTTTGCGTCATCCTTCTTGTTATCCTAGGTCCCCCAGTAGTGCCCTTCTCTTCCTTTTTTTTGGGGGAGGGCTCCCCCCCCTAAAATAGACTGCAGAAAAACAAGGTACCCTTATTCTACCCTCTCTACTGGAGGACCTAGTATCATTGTTTGGGTGAACATTTGGCAACATGTTACATCTTTGCTCAACGTGACGTGAGTAGATTGAATTCCTAGGGCTTGGGACGACCTAGGGTTTGGGCTGACCAGGTTGGGGGCCCGTTGCTGCCTCGAAACGAGGCTGCTGGGCTGAAGCTAAACGAGCATCCAGCTGGACATGGGATGCGCTGGACATTTGCGACGAGGTGCACGCCGCAAGTGCATGGACGGCTTGGGCGAGGCTTTTGGCGCACGAGACGAGAGGGCGGCGAGACGAGAGGCGACGGTCGCCCACGCTGAATGGAATGGAAATGGTTGGACGGTGACGAATAATGATTACTCCGCTCCTGAGCTCCGGATCGAATGTCCCATTGCACGCATTGACGTAGCGGTTGGCCAGCTTTGCGCTGAGCAGAGTAGAGACACGCCGGCTGATCAGAGAAAAGGCAGACTTTTGCCGAGGGCGTTTGAGCTGCTCCTTTAAAGTATGTTTATCAAGTGGGTAGAAGGAGCCCGAATTTGAAGAGACGCCCTAGAACAACATCTCTCGCACAGTGTTTCACCCTGCTTTAGGCATCCACTAGCCCATGGTTGTTCTACAGGCAGAGCTCACCGGCGACGTCCGGATTTGAATTGCAGTTGGGAATCTTCATGAGGTCAGAAGCAAAATCTTTGTGAGGTGGCAAATGTCGACCCCGGATTCATTAACCTGGCGACAACAATAGTGGGGACTCTGTTGCCCGCAAATGTGAAGGGTTTTCTCAATACAGGACACCGCCCTATGAATCAACTGGGGGTCTATTGACCCCAGTTCCCTTCAAACTGCCAAAATATAGCTTGACAACCCTTGGTATGGTTCACTTTGTTGTTTGCAGCCCCCCACTAAAAATGAACAGAGCCAAAACCCAAAAGCTAAAAGCTTGCCAAAAACAGTGAAGGTAGACGCTCTCCCAAACCCAGCTCGAATGTCCCTCTAGCTTCCCCTGAGAGTTCGACATGTTTATCCCACTTCCAAACCTCCCTTCCATTTGCTTAAGAATATTTGTGTTATTTTCCCCTGTTAGTTTTTTATAGGGAATCTATCACTACTGGAAATATATGTTTTATTTATTCTAGAGGGTTCTAAACCAATGCCCATTTCGAGCTCTGGCTGAGGGACTGGCAGCTCGGGTCCAGGATGGAGCGATTCATAGGGCACAGCTCGGTTTTTTTTCTCCAAACTGGAGAGCACATTCCCGCAGGCCTGCGCTGGCTCGCTACTTCACTGGCATTGTTGTTGTTGAGACAGCACCCTTTGGTTGGCCACGAATCCCCATGAGGTTGACAAAAGGACCGAGACCGGAGCATCGCGGTGAATTGTAAAAGGCTTCCTTTTGGGTTGGTGGAAGTTAACAGGACTCAAACCATGTTGGGGTACAATTCCTATCTTAAAAACATGCAAGGCAAAACCAGGGACCCTCTGCTTGACATGCCAATGCCTTGCTGAGAACTCGGGGTTAACACGTTCCTGGTTGATTCATATAGTGTTTCTCTTTGATTCGGATTTGGACAAGCCTGCAGTGACCGCCATTCTGAGAAAGTGAAATCGCAACATGCTTTCCTTGCACCGTTTCTTGCTGAACGATTCCATTTCCCCAGACCAAGCAACAGAACTACGCGCTGGTACGTGCCACTTTAACGACTTTTAGCCATCTCCCCCAGTAAACATCAAGCAGAAGTCCAGAAAGATCTCTTTTTGGTGGCTTTCAATATCATCAGTTCCTAGTTAAGGTGATTAGGTCCCCGGTAGTGCCCTGTTACTCCCTTTTTGGGGGGAGGGTTCCCCTACTAAAATAGACAAAAGCAGAAAAACGTTGGTACCTTTGTTCTAAGCTCTGGAGGACCTGGGTGACTTTGTTTGCGGTGACGCTTAAAAGGAAATTCCTGCTTCGTCGGCATTGGGCTGCTCCAATGCAATGGCGCGGGCTCCGGCCCCGTTGGGCGCACGCGCAGTCTCGTGCCCATGCGGCGGGTGTCAAGACAGAGCCCAGGCTCGGTGACGGCTGGGTACCTGTCAAAAGGGACAAACGGCAGTTTTCCTTGAGGTGTCCCCTTGAAACCAACCGGAGAAGGGTAGCCTCAAATGAAGAAAACACAGACCCGCTTGAACGACATGATGTTGATATCATTCACCATGAAGGTCATAGAAACGGCGAGTGGGGAGACCACTTCGCCAATATCAAGGTGTGTGAGACTGAAAGCTTTTGCGCTGCGTCTGGACCGTGGCTGGGTTGACGGACCGAAATTGGCAAAGTGTCAGAACGCGGTGACGCATTCATGCTGGTGTCCTTTGCAATGTGGTTAACGAGCCATTCCGATGCAACATATGTTCAGAGATACAGGGATTCCGCTTTTGAGTCAGAAGCCTTTGGGACTCCAAATCGGGACGTCAAACGGGTGTGTCTTTTTGTTTGTTGGGGGGACCCAAAATGGTGGTTTTCCTGTTGATTTTCTTCTGAAACCACAAAAAGCCTTCAACAACGCACTCGGTTCCAAATTGCCACTTGAAATGGAACGATGGGCCTGAACCAGGTCCTTCAACGCAACACCATCATTGCATCCGCCAAAGCCAAACCTATGCCAATTACCAGTGCGCTTTCAAAAGTGGCGAATTGAGGCATTGTCCCACGTGCTGTATTTTGCAGCACTTTTTATCATAGTTTCTGCCTTTCCCAATAGAGCGCAGCACACTTGCTGCCACACTTCCTGCGCAGCTAGCTGCTTTTCGGCTGCCGTTCTTGCCTGTCTGAGCGGCTCTTTTGTGTCTACACAAGTTGAAGACTACGCTTGTCTGAACTTCTTGTTCTTCTGTTGAAACATGTCGATAGACTCATGCCAATGCAAGCTCATGCAAGAACAGTTGGGTTCTGGTGGCTTGAGCATTTTTATGGGCTCAAGCCAGTGCAAGTTGACCATAAACAATTGTTGGGTTCTGGTGGCTCTGACAAGGCGACCTGCACCCACAACAGACCTGTGGGCATGATGCCCCAGTGCCACAGTCAGCTGAAATGTCATTGCGCTTCGGTGTATGTCCGTCTATGTGACTATGCGTGGTCAGTCTGTTTGCGAGAAAAGCGGCCTGTGCATGGACGGCGTGCGCAGGGACGGTGTGCACAGAGGTTCCGGCACGGACGGCGAGCGCCGGGCCGGCGTGCGCGTGCTGTGTGTCTGTTTGCATGCGTGTCTGCATTGGCTGACGCAAAGTCAACATGGTTGAAACCACCCAACCACCCCCCCCCCCCCCTCAACCCCAAAAAGTGGCTTGAGAGCTCATGGTCGCTAGTCACGCCGTGAGCCCAAAAAACCATCCTTCTTGAAGGCAGCTCGTCACTGTCGAAGCAGAACCACCCCTTTCAAAGCAACCAACTCTCCGCTAAAGCAACCTGGCGCTAAACAAAAACAACTGTCAAACAAGCCAACCCTTTCCCTCCAATAAGAAATGAGACCACTTGCACACGTCTCTTGACAACCAGCCCTCTGTACAACAACCCACCCTGTAGAACAAGGGGTCGAAGTGAATGCGCAACACCAAGCGTGCAAATTGGGGGACGCAACGTTGCTGTCCAAATCTGCTTCTACCGCAAGGAGACTGTTTTCCATGTCCTTCGGTCCCCTTGGGGCAACGGGGGTTTGGTTCAACAAATCTTCAATTGCCTTACTCACGTCCTTGAGTTCCTGAACTTGAACTCTGTTCCACCATTTTAGTATATAACAACCTGGATATCAGGCATCAGACGTCAGGTTTCTTCTTTGCCCTGACTCGCTCGTTCCCCAGCGCCCGGGGCGAGCCCACCTTCAGTGCTGGTCCAACGTATATTATAGAATTTTCAATACTGTTCCTCCCCGGTAAAATGTAACATACCCCTTCCCCAGAATTAGCCAGTGTTTCTTTTTTTGCTTTTTTGGGTTCCCTTTGCTTTCCACTAACCAGGCAAAACAATATTTTTGTCTGCTGGGGTCCTAATTCCAGCCGAGATCCTAAGTTTCGCCCAGGGATGAAATAGGAAGTGCATACCCTCTCACCGACTAACATGGAAGTGCACCGACCCCTGTAGAAAGACTAGTTTCCTCTTGGAAATGGGGTTTGTGCGCTTCTCCTAACCCGGTAAGATCTAACAAAGCCTAAGTTAAACCGAGTTCATGGTGCTATCTTGTTTTTCTCTCTAACTTCCCAGATTTCACTTCAGCAAATCCACGACATCCGGAGAAAAAAAGCGCAAAAAGTCGGGAGACCATCCCCGGAACTTCTTCGTCCGAGTCCAAGGTCGCCCCTCTTGGAGTTCCAGCTAGACCTCCGGGAGGTGAAGCACATGGCGCCCCACGTCTTGGCCTCCGCCGTGGCCTCCGCCGGGGCAGGCCGGGGTTCCTATGCGTGTGCTGGGTTTGGTCGGGGTTTGTTTGGGGGGGGAGACCCCCTAAATTGGTGTGCGTTTTTGTTCCTGTTGGTGTTTAGTTTTTTGGGGGGAGGCTCGGAGGCCCCTAAGATTGGTGTGTTGTTCATGTACAACCAACCAACGAACAGGGTGTGTGTGTGTGTGTGATTTTTTCAATTTTTGTTTGGGCGAACCCCTGAAAATTGTTTTTGGTTTTCTTGGTTCCCCTTGTACAACCAAGCAAAAGGCTGTTGTTTGCATTCTTTTTTATGGGGCCTCCCCCCAAAAAGCACAATTTGTGGTTTTCGTCTTGGTTCCTCTTGTACAACCAACCAAAAGGGGGTTCCACCCCCGCAAAACACAAGCACACCTATATGGTTGTGCGCGGCTGTGTTTGGAGGTACTTGCCCTTTTTGGGTGTGGTGTAAAAGAAAAACCAAATTGAAACCGCCCCGGAGGGGGTTCCCTACTTTGACACACATGTAAATCTTCATTGGATGGGAATTGCAAAATGAGGAGTCATTGTGTGGTACCTCATTGTTTTCGGAATCGGTCCGACTTGTTCAGGAAAGGAATATTTTTTGCGAGTGAGACTCAAGCCAGGGGTTTCCCCAAGTTTCGGGTTGCGGAAACCCAACAGAGCACGTCCTTCCGTGCTGCCTATGAAACAAGTCCACACAATTGGGGAGGCCACCAAGGAGACGTCTTGTGTGAGCCCCCTTCAAGTGCCCGGGACCAAGACAAATTCTTGCTCCACTTGGAATTGGTGGTTTCTCCCAATTTACACTTTTTTTCCAATGTAACAGTACTTTTAATTCTTACTGATCCTTTATCATCATTGTCATACTCTTTACAAAAAATGTGTTTCTCCCTCTCGTTTGGGACGGGCGTCCCCGTCTCCGCCCCCAGAGGCCGACACCTGGCCCCGGTGCTGTGGCGCGCCTATGGGCAGAGGGCCCTGGAACTGAAGAAGCGGTTCACCGTGGCCGACTTGAGGCGGGCTGGACACCCCCCCCCCGCCCTCTGATTTAAGCATGTTTTGGGACCCACGCGGGTTCATGAATCAATACTTCGGCTGGACCCAAGTTAGATATTTCAGGAAGCACTCACATGCTGGTGAAATGTTCTATAATTTGGGACCCACCCGCATGCCCATTCCAGAGGGTGTTGGGAAAGTTCGGGCTATTTTTGGAGGATAAGCTGCCTGATTCAGAGCCTGTGTTGAAAGAATTTCGGATATGTTTGGACCCTGGTGTTTGCTCAAGCAACACCATTGTCATTATTTTCAAGAAGTAGGAACCCCCAAAACGCGCGGGGTTTTGTTGTGGAGACAAGCCCATTCGTCAAGTGGTGGCCGTTCTTGGCTCAGGATCATGTGGCAATGGGTAAAGGGCACTTTTAGTATTGACATGCACCTGCGCGTGTTTTTGCTCGGAACGCGCCGTTGTCCATCGTGTTTGCGCAAGTAAGCCCAAGCATGGAATGAACTACTGCAGCCAAAACGGGATGAAAAGGACAGCGCCGAAGTGAAGGCGAGTCAGGGACAGTCTCAACCATAAATAGGCGTCTCCGCCCTTGTGGTTAGTCCGCTGCAAATTCACAGCCCCCCCCCAAAAGAAACACCAAAACAAATCAAAAACTGGGTGGTATCCCCAACAGCCCCGGCACGGCCTGGAACTTGGAGCCTTTCAGCTGTTTGGGGAAAACACACACAGGAGATCCCAATTTTCCGCGATACCTGACCAGGAGTTTTGTAAACAGCCAATGAGAGGACTGCTTCTGTAGTTTGCCGAGCAAAGCCCAGACTTACACACTGGTTGGTACTAAAGTCGTGTGTTTGCAAGTATATCAGGTGACTAAACTGACTACCCTTCCCACAAATGTAGCGTCTGTGGGAGGGCACCTGGAAGATGAATAGCCTGACGGACCCTCGGTGCCATGTCAGTGGGAGAACTCGCCCGAAGCCAAGCTTTTGACCTTTTTGTTTATCCTTGGTCAATTCGTCATGGCCCCCAAAAGCTGATGACCTTGTGGAGAAATTTGTTCCAATTTCAGCTCTCCTGTGAGCATATAAGGTTATGATCCCTTTGGAAGTGTGGATTGCCCGGCAAATTGGGACAAATTGGGACATATTGCGCAACTTTTGACTTCTTCTTGTTTCTTGGCAACCGCGTTGAGTGATGGCCCCAAAAGGTGACCTTTCCAGGGGCACCTTCCCCATTCATTCCAGGGATCCTTCTTTCTAGGAAACCTGCGGACACCCAGGTTGAAAACGGCTGTGTTTGAAGGGAAGGATGGTTGAAAAGAATGGAAAAGGAATAGACCCCTAGTGTGGGCCGGGTTCCATTATGCTAACTCCAAAATTAACTGAAACACCTGTGGTCAACCGCTGCTCCACTTTGGGCATATGGAGCCGAAGACCTGCGACCCCTGAGAAATATACCTCATTTTGACTTAGCATTGGCAGCAGCGTTTCCTCGGGCCTTTCCTGCCACGTCTCCCTAGGAATCGACCCCTAGAACCGTATCATGGTTGTCGTTGGGACACATTTTCTCCATTGTTGTTTATTGTGGTTGAGTGGTTGAAATCCAAGTCCACTTAACTGCTCAAATTTAAATTGTGGGAAATCCAACCACTGAACTGCTCAAAAAAAAGAAGCTCCCCAAACCCAACGTCCACCGAGTAGAACCTCCATGAAGGCCACGGACTTTTCGGGAAGGCCGATTCATCCAGCTCCAGGCGGTTTTTGCAGGGCCATGCCGCCGCCAACGTGAAGGCCGACCCGGTTTCCCTCCCCTAGGTTTCTCACCCCTTGGGAGATTCGGTTCCCCTACTAAAATAGACAGAAGAAAAGTTGGTACCAACTTATTCTAACCTCTAGAGGACCTAGTCCCTGAAAAAAGCCCCACACCACCTTCCGAAGGAGCCTATGTGGGCAGAGACCCCTCAGCTTTCAGCTGGGCAACAGGGGAAAAATATAAGACATCTCCTCATGAACCCATTTTAGTTTCACATGAGTTTGCAGAGGATCCTCCTATCTGGGCTGTTCAAAGGTAATCCTTAATCCTTACCTGGGGTTACGCAAGGGGTCCCCTTTGTAGTGGCTTTCCTATGAGGATTATGGATTAGGATTGGCCAACCCTCCATTTTGAACAGCCCAGCCTATCCATCTGCCAAACAGTCGCACCGTTCAACCCAGTTGCAACCAGATTTCGGGCTCGAAATATGTCGTGCTTCTGGTCCGAAGCTCGACTCCAAAGAACAAAGGATAGAACTGTTGCGACCGGGTCACTTAACTGAGCATATACACTTCCACAGTGTGTGTGTGTGTGTGTTGTTTTCCTATTTGTTTAAAAGTATGAATGTGTTGTTTGCCTTCAGCAACTGCAAGTTTTAATCCACCCAGAGGGGATGACAGTGTTCCCACAATTCCCGTCCAGGGTGGTTAATGTTTAACCTTTAGCATTGTTCAGGCTGAAATGCAAGGCCATGGCTGTTGAACATCTGCAGTTTCGGGCAAGATAAACCAGAAAGTCATAGGGAGGTCACTTTCCACCTTTGGAATTTGGTGTCACAGAAATGATGTATTGTACCCAGCTATGATACAACCAGAGAACGAATGATACGCCAACATGGTCATGGTAGTGATTCTGTGGATGGACGAATTCCTGCACCACTTGGAAACAATGGGAAATCATTGTTTGTCGGTATTTACATCATTCTAGGGTTTCTTAGATGGTGCGAAACGGATTTCGTCCCATCCACAGTTGCAAATGGTATCAAGACAGAACGAACATCAATCAACTGGGGCAACTTGGGGTGAGTGTGGGTTAGTCCAAACCAACGGCCTCACAGATCTCCAGCCCTCAGGCCTTCGCGGGTTAGAACTCTGGAGCTGCTCGATCTGTTTTTTGTTTTCTCTTCTTTTAATCCGAGCAAAGCCGCCAGAAGAATCACTTGCTTGTGATTTGCCCCGGTAAGTTTTGGTGGGCAGTAGCTTGGTTCCAACCCACTTGTACGATTTGCTCCGTGGGGTTTTACGCAGGTCACCTAGCACTTACTCACGCCCGGCCGCCTTCGGGAAACCCAGTGAACCTCCCTGCGATCCCACTTGATGTTCCCCGATCGGCGGTTCGAAGGGACCAATGGTGTAATTGCAGGACGGATCAGCCAACTTGTTAACGGGAGTGAATCCCCGGAAAACTTGCTGTACGGAACCAACTGAAAAGCACACCTCAACAGTTTCACCAGATTGCTGGATGCCCCGGGTCAACCTCAAGCAAGACAAGCGAGGGGAATATAAAGGGTGCATGAGGACTGATTCTGTTTTGGAGTCTGATCTAAGGTCTGGGGTGGTTGACATCTTGGAACACCTGGCTTTTCTCGCGGCTCCGTGCCAATTGTAAACGCTTCGCGCTGCCCGCCTAGGCCACTATCACCCAAATTATTTTGGATAGTTTTTGTTGTTATGTGTTGGTTTACATCGAAGTGCCATGTTTTGAGTGAATGTGTCGGCACCGAACTGCATGAACTGGTTTCCATCATTTATGGTGGGTGTGTTTCTACATGGCCCGAAGCGCCAAAGGTTCGATCATAGATTCCCTTCAAACTAAGTAGCACACAACGCGGTAGCAACAGAGACATGTGAGAGGGTATCTTTTTGGGGCACGTATGAACGAAACTAACATGCGCGAATGTGTCTCTCAAGAAATGATTTGAGATGTCTTCTGGTGGTTGGTTTGATTTTGCTTTTTCCGCAACAAAAGCTGAGAAGTGGGGAAAGTGCGTTTTCCAAAATGTGCGTGCTCCTTGAAGCAAAACACAAAAAATGGCACCCCCCCCCCCAACTCCCAGCGCTGGCTGGAATTTTCTTGCAGGACGCCGCGCTCTTCCGGGATTTGCTGAAGGCTGTGTGGCAGGGAGATCCAGCGACGCCGCCCAAAGATCTGTGCTCCATCGCTGCTTTGTTGCATTTTGCCAAGGGATCTTAGGACTTTAGCTGTTTGCCACCTAATGCATTTTCCATTCAACAAATGGACATTTAGTGTTTTTGTTCCATTAAACCACCAACTTTTAGCAGGGCCAAGGCATGTTAGGACCTTGGCTTGTTGCCAACCAATGGGTTTTCCGTATTAAACCACTAAAACTTAAACTTTCAGCAGGGGAGCAGATTTCGCAACCGAGGCTATCTCTTTGGCCAAGCTCAAGTGGGGGCCCTGGCTGACTCCCCCAGATTGGCCAAGGCAGAGCCTGATGGACTGCGGCGGTGGAAAGAAACGGATGGATTTCTTAAATATCTTAAATGTATGTATCTTGGGTGTTTTTTTTTTTTTTTTTTTAAAAAAAAAATAAGAATTCTGTATGTCTCTTTGGCTCCCACAAATACATGCTCAAATTATCATCGCGACCCTCGGGGCAAATCGAGCTCACCCAGGATGAAGCTCCCTTACCTATCTCGGTTTCTCCCGGAAGCGCGCGGCTCCGCAAGGCTGTGAATTTTGGTCTTGATCTGCCCGCCACTGTGGGGAGGCTCACTTGCAGCTGCCATAGCCGTCTTCGATGGTCTTCTCGACCTTTCGGAGGACGCACGAGTGCGTTACCAAAGCCTTCGAGGAGGCTGCGGCGTTCTTGCAGTCTCCCACACAGTCATGGGTTAGAGCGCACCGACCGCGTGGCTTCATGTCGTCCCATTGACCCAGAGGGGCTTTCCGGCATTGCTTGCCTTTTCTGTTTGTGTGACTTCATGATCCAATTCCTGCACGAGCGCCATACACCCCGCTTTCTACGCCGAAAGCGCAAAAGCGCAACCATCGACTCACACGTCGCCTACCTGTAGCCGGACCAGATAATTTGGAGCTGCCGTGTGCGGCACACTGGCAACTTTGCTTGCCGCTGTGAATGTGTTGCTGGCAGTTCTCATGGCTTTTGTGGCTGTCAAAACCAATGCGATCCCATGGGATCCCATTTTGGGGTAGGTGCACCACCCAGTTTAGCCCATTTTAGTGGGGATTGGGATGTTCACTGGGGGTACGCCATTTTGACCCATGGCCATGTGATGGCTCTACACCAGGCTATGTGCCACGATCTTTGGTTGGTGCGTTGCTCTTCCTCCTGGTCATTCGGTCTGCCCTGTGTTTCCCGCGTGCAGGCGAGGTCAATCTTCGGACGCATGTCTGGGGGTGGCCCAAATGGATTCCCGGCTGAAGGTGGTGGCTCACTCAGTTCTGCGCAGGCCTCCACTGCGTTGCAGTCTCTGTATCTATTGCTTTGACTCGTGAGTGTGCCCAGTTTCCACAGGATTGTCTCCTATTGGCATGTTTGTGCAGTATGACGGGCTCTTCCTCTTCCTCCTGGTGCTTGGCCGCTCTCTCTAACACCCATGCGCAGGCTCTTTTTTCGATTAGGCGCATCGCCGTCAGCTGGTTGCAGAGGACTTGGTTTTCGAAGGGGGTCTGAGGGGCGTAGTTCATGCGTGGTCGTGGGTTTCTCCGCCTTCATGAGAGCTGAGTTCACTTCGATTGGCCAAGTTCCCTCTGGGCTGCCTCGGCGCGGCTGGTCTGAGTTTTTTCTCCCTGCACACCCCACATCTCGCTCTGCTGGGATTTGGCTCTCTTCTTGCGGATGTCAATATGGGTCAAAATTAAAGCACCAGGAATTGGACCGCCGGTTTTAGTCCATGTTTCCATCTGCCAGGGCAAGCCATTTTGGGGTTACCCTATTTTTGACCCACTGACGGGCCACCTCTCAAGTGTCACTGCAAATTGAGTCACTGAGGCCTCGTGGAAGATGAATACCTGGACTTGAGAATTCCTTGATCCCAGCTGGTTTAGTGGTTGAAATCTAACCACTTAGCTGCTAAAATTTGAATTGTTGCTCCCCTTCCAACGTGAACCAAGAATTATTGTATTGTACGCGGATATCTGGATGGACCTTTCATTTGGCATGGCTGAAGGGAAGCCGGCCACTGCAGCGAACAAAAACACATATGTTGGGTCCTGCTGAAATGGGGGGCAGCTGCAGATTTAGAAAGGAAAATCAACAGAGATGGTTTTGACGGGCTGTTGCTGATGGGTAAGTGGCAGTTGGTTGCACCAAATAGGATCTTTGATTGTTGCAAGGGGAAATCAACCGCTTGGAGGGGCCCCTCATTTGACTTGAGACACGCCCTTCTGTCCTAAAGGAGGGACTGGACTCCGGGACATCAAAAGAAAGCTTAGATGCATGTTGCGTTCTCCTTAAATACCTTCCAACCGAGGGCCCGTCTTTGGCAACCCCTAAAAAATATATAGCGTGCGTATATATATATATATATACATGTATACATCATATATATATATATATATATGTACGTGTGTGTCTATCTATATATATATATATGCACGTCTACATATTATATGTACAGATCTATGTGTGCATATGTTTTCATGGCGAGCAATGTCACATGCAGGCAGGCGAGTTCCCCCATGAAGGTTCCTTCATTGTTGGTCTGAAGATTTTACTCCTTCCTCTGCGGAATATGTCGAGGGCGCAACAAGTATTGGTAGTCCACTTTTGGTTTGCTGGTTTGTCCGTGCTACGCCTTGATAGAGACAAGGGCAGTCATTTTCTGATCGGACGAGGTTAAATACAAAGAGTGGAAGAGAGAACTTACCTCAGACACCAAATCACAGAAAGGATGCATGTTCGGCACGAAATCCAGCATAAGATGAATCAAACCGTGAGGGTCTGGGGCAGACAGCTGACTCTCAGGAAAACGTTGCATGACGCGATGATAAGAAACTAACGTCTTTATGGTTTAGAAACCGTCCACTTGACTCAAGCATTGCAAGCTAAAGTGAAAGCTGTCCAATTGAGTTTGTGGGCATCTTGGCCACGTTCGATCGTGAACAGGGCAAACACCAACCAGTTTGACTGGCAAAAACAATGTCCGAGCCTTAAGATAAAGCACTTTTCCAAATTGTTGCAAGACAGACATGCCAAGTTAGCAGGGCACATTCTCAGAAGCAACAACGACGACCGCCTGGGAGCAGTAAGTTACCAGTCCAACTTGGCGGAACGAATCGCAGTTGGAGCAAGACGGATTGGCGGACCCCGACAACAGTGGCTCTTCTTCACTAACGAGTACAAGCGGGAAACAAGGTCGGAAGGGGCGAGTAATGTAAACATGAGCAGGAAATTCCAAACAGGTCTTGGAATCAACGCAAAGCCCCCCCGTCTCACAATCATGCCTGCTGGGGGCGTGAGACCACGGCTTGAAAAGAAACGGAACACACACACACACACACACACGTGTTGCAACTCTTTTTGGAAGAGGGGCAAGGGTTTCCCAGTTGTGTCAGTCATAGGCGCTGGTTGGGAATCCTGTTTCTTGCCGCCCAGTGACAAAAGACAGTGCTCCCACCTTTGCGTCTCTTCAAAGGGTCGTTGTTTCACATGGCCTTGTAGTTGCTAGCTCATTTGTTCGGTCTCCTTGGCTGGTGTCTCATCTTTGCATAATGTGGCATCTAGCTGCTTTGACCGGGAAGGCTTGATTGCGGTTGAACAACGTCTCAGGGTTTATTTGCTAGGTCCCCCAGCTAGGTGCCCTTCTCTCCCCTTTTCTGGGGAGGGTTCCCCTACTAAAATAGAAACTACAGAAAAAGACAAAAAACATCGGGCACCCTTGTTCTAACCTCTCAAGTCTGGAGGAGCTAGTTAGGAATGGTCTGGTGACTCAGCCGGTTGATGCCGGTTGACTTTCATGTTCCCTCAGTCAGCAGCAATCCTTTGACTCCGTGGTGCTGCTTAGTGCCAGGTGGACTACTCAGGTGTTTTGGGGACCCATTTTGAATAGAATCTCAAAGGCGGCAAAGTCCACGCCTTTACAGGGTCAGAACGCACACCTGAAATAGCACTGGTATAAAGCAGTGACTCAGAATGACAAATCTTGCAGCAAAGCAGCTTCCCAAACTGGGTCCCCCAAAAATGGGTGGTGTCCCGTTTGAGCTGCCCTTCAACACCCAAAAACGATTTCTCCGCAATTTTGGGAACCTTTTGAGGTGCGACGCCGGGAGTTTCGACGACCTTGCTGAGCACTTTGCGCGGGAGCGCGCGCTGGAGGGCCTGGAAAGCATCGACGTGAGCAGTTTGGCCAACGCCTCTTGGAGAAATCCCGCAGTGGTGGGCGCGGTTTTCTTGGGAAGGGGCAAGGTGCCGTCATTTGGCTGCGGGTCAAAAATAGGCACCCAAAATGGAAACCTGGTAAATGGAAACAAGGACTAAAACCTGCGGTCTTCTGGTGGATTCATTTTGACCCATACCCATTTGTTCGAAAAGCCGCCAAGGTAGGAGGTAGGCTTGGGAGGTTTCCTTTGAGGGGAGGCTTTCTTGGGTTTGTTTGTTGGTTTTCGAGTACACCCCCCTTTTGGTGCAAACAAAAGCGACGCCAAAAGGAACTCAAGGGGTAACTTCGAACTATTCTCCAACATCCTTGTTTCCGAAAGATCCAAACACCAGGGTGGAAACGGACCTTGTTTGAGAACAATGCTTGAAGTTGAGGATATGCCCCAAGAACCACCTGATGTGAGTGCTGTTCGGCCTTTCAAAGTGGCACATTGCCCTTGAGTGTGAAATTCACGCTAGATTTTGTGATGTGTTGGCCTGGCTGGGCTGCCCACTTTGCAGACGATCGGCTTTGGTTGGTGGGTGGGTGGGTGGGTTTGGCGTTTGGTTGGTTGGTTGGTTGGTTGGTTTTGCGAAAGTACACCATGCATTCCCACTTGGATGTAATTCATACTGATTACCATTGCATGGCTCAAGATGACAAAGGTGCATTTGCTGCCTTGGTTGATTAGCAGAGATTAGTCTCTGATTTTCCCATGGTAGCGGAGCTCGAAGATTCAGGAGACCTTAGGGAAACCTGATTCTGAGAGCTGCCATGGCACTCGGACAAGATGAGGATTTTGCAGGAAAGCTAAGACTTCCCATGCCAGGGAAATTCACTGGCAAGCCAGAGGACTGGGAAGATTGGAGCTGGGATTTCAGGACATATTTGAGCATGTTCCTGCCAGATTCAACAACGATTATGGACCGCATTGAGGCCAACGCAGACACACCCATTGAGGACGCGCATTTGAATGTAGCGGGTAACCAGGATGCCACAGACAGAAGGATTCAGAATTCCCGAAGGCTGCATTATTTGTTAGCAAATTTGTGCAGTGATTCAGCAAGGCTGGTAGTCAGGCAGAACATTGGCTGCAATGGTTATGAAACCTGGAGGAGATTGTATTCCAAATTTGCATTGCCGGACGCAACACGGCACATGAGTTTACTTAGCCAGATTTTGGAATTCAAGTTTCACTCCAATACATTTGAACAAGATTTCAACACCTGGGAGACCATTAAGGCCAGATATGAATCTCAAACCGGCCAAGCCATTCCTGATAGCATTCTGGTGGCTACCCTCTTGAACAAGACAACAGGCCCATTGCAACAGCATTTGAGGCTCAATGCTTCGGCATTGTTGACCTATGAACAAACACGAAACGTGATTGTGCAGTACCACCATTCCAGGCACATTCTTAGGAACATGCCGGGGAATGACAACCAAGGACCAGCACCCATGGACATTGGGGCGCTGAAAGGATTCAAAGGAAAAGGCAAAGGCAAAGGATTCAAAGGATTCAAAGGAGCCAAAGGACCACATTGGTCATACAACAAAGGAGCATTCAGCAAAGGAAAAGGAAAAGGAAAGGATTTCAAAGGCAAAGGCAAAGGAAAGGACCCAAAAGGAAAAGGAAAGGATTCCAAAGGAAAAGGAAAAGGGTCGATTGCAACCTGCTGGATTTGCGGCTCTCGCGGCCACATTTCCAGAACATGTCCGCAGAGAGCTGTGAGCGGAGTGATTGAGGAAGATTGGAATGAAGAATGGTCCGAAGAGCCCTGGCCTGATTCGTCGTGGCCTGATGGCTCATGGGACATTGCTGGATTGAGTTGGGATGAAGGAGAAGATTGGTCCTGGGATTCGTCTTGGGGATCATGGGATTCTGTGAACTCTTGGGACCACCCTTGGGATTGGTTTCAGGACAGTCAGATTCCAGAGCCTCCTGCTGGATGCGATTCTGCCGCGTTTTCATCGGCAGGACCACCCCCAGCAGGAGATTCACAGCAAGGAACCATTGGAGCAGTGACACAGGTGCCGCCGGGATTGAGTCCAAACATTGGCTCAACTCCCATTCGGCCAAAGGCCAAGCCAAAGGCCTCATCATTTTTGATTGCTGCACTTGTCATGAATTCGGTCACCTCAGGATCATCCTTTCAGATTCCTGCCACTCGTGGCAGTCCGTCTGAGGGTGAAGGTGAAAGTTGGATGACATTTGGAGAGCATGAAAGATTGTTTAAGTCGATGTATTGCTTGGACACTGGATTGGATAGCATGCCATGTTTGAGTGCCGGATTGATTGCCCCTGTTCCCGGACAAGACTTGTTAGATTGGTATGATGAACCAACCCCAGTGAAGGATTCTTTTCATTTCGTGACCACCTTGAAGGACTGCGGCTTGGATCACTTGAATTCGAAGTTTGTTGACACATTCTTGCATGAACAGTTGATTTCAGCAGTCGAGGATTCCACCCCGTGGATTCTATTTGATTCAGGAGCATCTGCCCATTGCTGTCCGCCAGACTTTGGTGAACAATGGCCATTGCTTCCATTAAATGGAAATGGCCCACCATTGAAGAGTGTCACAGGACAGCCATTGAACATGTATGGGAGAAGATTGGTTGGCTTGAACTTGGATGGACAAGATTGCTTCATGAATTTTTATGTTTGTGACGTGCCTTATCCGATTGTGTCGGTTGCACGATTGCTGCTGCAGGGATTCCGCGTAGCATTGGATGGACCAGACTCATTGGGATTGTTTATGCCCAATGGTAAGGTAGTGAGTATTCACCGAAAAGGCTCACTGCTTTTCCTAGGTCCGAACATTCTTCCATTTGACAAACCCCGATTTGAAGAAGTGTGTCAAGAGTTTCATTCCAAGTTTGGTTCAGATTCTTCAGGGACCATAGCACCCACATTTAAGCCCACCATTTACCACAACGACAGTTGGGAACTTGATCCGCAACGCGCTGTGCTGATTCGACATCACAAGCGCGCAAGGCGTGCGTTATTCACGCCAGGTGGCACCAAGGACAGGCCCATTCCTGTGGAAGATGTGGCGTCCAGACGCACAACTTACGTCCGATTCGAAGATGGACGTGAGGAGACCATCGCCGACAATTGGCGGACGATAGATTCTCCGCAACGGGCGTTGGATCAGTACTGGATGGGAAGGACAGAATTCCCGTTGCAATCCTTGCCGACGGCAAGACGATTGACGGGGAAGCAATCCACAATTGCAAGACCTCCCATTCAGGAAGCGTCAGTGCCAGCAAAGAAACCTCATTTGAAAGCGCAACCGTCTGCTGACATTGGCCAGGATGATTATTCCCGGTCAGTGAAGGAGCTGACGACGGGAGAATTGGAAGAAGCAAAGGAAATTGTGGAACGGCGATTGTGCATGAGTGACCCGGAGACAGGAGGACCATTCGGACATGATGAATGGTACCTCACACCCAAGTTTGACATTAGGATACACCATGAGTGGAGGAATTGTCTGTATGTGCCAGATGAGACCGATTCGGCCGCTCCCTCCAAGGAATTGCTGGGGAACGAGAGGCACACATTGGCTGTGTTCCTCAACGGGAGACTCCAGTGGATTCACGACCACTGGGCTGACCCAGAGGCTGCTGCTACGGAATTTCCTGAGCCATTCAAAGGCGCGACGATTTTTCGTCGGCAGTCTCAGCAATTCTTGGAAGAGAGCAACCCGGACATTCCGGAAATGTCGGCTCAACGGCCAAAGGGATTGTACGTTCCCAAACAGCCGACGGACGATGAGATTCGTGAACATGAGTTGACTCATCTGCCATTCAGATCATGGTGTGAGATTTGCGTCAGGTCGAAGAGCAAGCAAAACCAGAGTCGTGCCATTTCGGTGCGGCAACCTGTGATTCAGGTGGATTACGCCTTTATGGGTGATTCACAAAGTGACACACAGGTGACATTGCTCACGGCCACTGATGTACTGAGTGGAATGGGATTGGCGTGCGTTGTTCCGTCCAAAGGACGCATTGTGTATGCGCAAGCAGAGTTGAGGAAATTCGTGTTGGAGATTGGAAGGACATTTGGGATTGTTCAGTGCGACCCTGAAGCTTCATTAAAAGCCTTGGTCGAGGCAGTCACGGGTGACATTGGTGGATTGTCATACCGTGAAGCTCCCACTGGCTGGAAGCAAGCTCAGGGATCCATTTCCAACATGCAAGCAACATTGTATGCTCAGATTCGTGCTTTGAAGCTTGACATTCAACATAGGTATGGCATGTCGGTTAGCGTGCATTCGCCATTGTTTCCTTGGATTGCTAAGCACTCCATGTGGCTTCTAAACAGGTTTCTTCATCGGTCTGATGGATTCACTCCATTTGAACGACGATGGGGAAAGAAGTATGGAGGTGCATTGTGTCGAATTGCCGAGTCTGTGCAGTTCCGATTGCCTGCGCCTAAGTCTGAGCCATCGTGGCATTCAGGCATTTGGCTTGGACGTGACACCACATCCGACCAGCATTTTGTGGCGGATTCCAATGCTGTGTACAAGGTGCGAGGCATTCGGAGACTTCAGCCGGGATCACAAGTCAAGCGAGATTTGATGCAAGGGTTGCGTGCATTGCCATGGGATCCAAAAGGATCCAAGGTCGAAACGGATTCGTTCATCCTTCCGGGTGATTCTGCTGTGCTCCAGAAAGGTGAACCCCAGCCACCTTTGGGGATTCCACCAACTGACGAGCAAACAGAGGAGCCAGATCACGATGGAACTGGTGAGGATTCGTCAGCCCAGTTGTCCCAAGGATTGACGCGAGGTCATGAGGACATTGACAGGGAACCTGGAGAGCATTCGGAGTCTCCAACCAATAGGCGCAGATTGGCAGAGGCAAGAGGCATTAAAAGAACCAGTGAGCAGGCAGAGATTCCTGAAGCGGATTCTACTGTAAGCTACATTTCTGCCATTCTGCCATGCGAGTTTGGTTGCACATTGGTTGAAGATTGTAGGATTGCCACAGTCACCACGCGTGAGTCATTGGACTTGCCCATTCATGTAAACCAGGATGAAGAAGAATTAGGGAACATGAAGAAATTTGCCAATCCGATTCTGTGGGGAGAGTCTGAATTCCCCAGAGATTTGGAAGAGGCAGGAATGAACAAGGAAATGAATTCCATGAAGGACTTTGATTCGTATGTAGAAGAGAAAACCGAGGATTTGACGCAGGAAGAAGTTGATTCAGCAATTTCAATGAAGTGGGTTAAGTCTTGGAAAGGAGCAGAAGTGAAGTGTAGATTGGTAGCCCGTGGCTTTGACCAATACATTGAAGATAAGGATGACACATTCGCTTCTACCCCAAGCTTGTCCACATTGAAGTTGTTGATTGCGTTGTCCATTGCCATGAATTTGGATGTTGTGATTGCAGACGTGTCCACCGCATTCTTGCATGCGACGTTGTGGCAGAAGATTTTTGTCATTCCTCCAAAGGAGTACTACCCTCAAGGGGGCGTACTTTGGCGATTGAAGAAGGCATTGTATGGCCTGAAAGGTTCGCCAAAGGCATGGCAACAGCATTTAGCCAAGACCATGCTTGACGCGGGATTTGAGCGTTTGAAGTCAGATCCGAATTTGTACCGACACAAGACCAAGAAATTGTGGGCATTGGTCTATGTCGATGATTTGATGTTTGTAGGTGAGCGACGTGACATTGATGAGGTGATGCAAGATTTGAAGAAGGTGCTTCTGATTCGGCAGACAGGTGAATTGAGTGAAGGTAAGACAGTCTCCTTCTTGGGACGTCAGATTCGCCGAACATCAGATTCCATGGAATTGTTCATGTCTCCTGATTACATTGACCGCATGCTGGATTCCTATGGCATGACCAAGAGCAAGCCGGCTCAGACGCCAGGAGGAGATTCATTGCGGAAGTTGCTTGACAACGAATTGTTGAATTCGCAAGAGCATAAATTGTATAGGAGATTGGTTGGACAATTGTTGTGGCTTGCAGCATTGCGTGTTGACATCATGTATGCTGTTAAGGAGTTGTCACGAGGATTGGTTGCTCCCACTGAGGTGCACAAGATTAAGTTGAAGACATTGTTGAGGTACCTGAGTGGAACCAAGGATTATGTCCATGTTATGAGACCTGATTTCCGGATTGGAAGACAGGTGAAATCATTGGACATAAAGGTCTATGTGGACAGCGATTGGGCAGGTTGCACCGATTCCAGGAGGTCCACATCAGGAGTAGCATTGAACATTCTCGGCATCAACATTTCAGCACACAGCAGAACACAGGCCACCATTGCCTTGTCAAGTGGGGAAGCCGAACTTTATGCTATTGGAAGTGGTGCGGCCGAGGCCCTATTCATTAAATCTTTGATTCTGGAAACCCTTGTGGCTCCCAAGGTGAACATCATTCTGTTTACCGATTCAACTGCAGGCAAGAGCATGGCTGTCAGATTTGGGGCATCCCGGAAAACCAAACATGTCCAATTGCGATTTCTGTTTGTCCAGGAGCTGGTTTCCTCTGGGACCCTGGTGATTAAGAAGATTCCGGGAACCCTCAACCCATCTGACATTTTAACCAAGTATGTTGCCAAGGCAATTTTGCAGAGGCATAACATCACATTAGGGATTTGCCCTTCAGGTAGTAGATAGTCAACATGATTCTGTTTCACTTAGTCAGTAGTCAAGACATTTTGCCACGAGTGAATTCGAAGCCATTTCATGCATGACTGCAACATTTGTTTTGCTCAACATTCTGACTGACATTTCGGTGTGCATTTACTTCGACCGATGCGATGGACAGCCCGCATTCCGGAATTTGACGCGACAGTATTTCCACCGGATTCTCGCAAGAGATTTGAAGATGGAGCGCACGAATTTTTCGGAATACAAGGCATTCATTACGGCCACGATGTTGTGGCAGATTCTATTCAGCGGCCAGCAACAGGAACAATTTGGGTTCCAGGATTTTATTTTCATGAACCGATTCGCGGACGATGCCTGGAGTGCGCAGATTCTGATCAGGATCATTCCAAACATTGCGGCTGGGAGTATGTCCTATACTCCATTTGAGAGGCATTTGTGGCTACATGAGCGATCATTTGCACCAGAGGGTGATGCAAAGAACAGATTGATTCAGTATTTGGCGGACACACCAGTGGTGATTGGATTCAGGCCACATTCGCAGCGATTTCTTGATTTCATGAGGCATTCATTTACTCACGTATTTGTGAGGTCTCACATTGACCCCATCATTCACTTCAAGGATTACATTTGGGATTCAAGAGACAGCTTGGCGATGCAGGAGATTTGCTCCATGGCCGGATTCAATATCAAGGCCCAGATTGGGGAATTGATGCTCGCTGCCAATTCATTGCAGCAAAGCAATTCCCATTGGTACCGGGATTACCACATGTTCATTCCCAAGACCTGGAAGACTTCATTGGACAAATTCATGGGCGACTACCAGGAGATTCCCAAGTCACTGGTAGATTCATATTACAGAGCGAAGCTGTGATTCAGCATTGGTGGAGCTGGGATTTCGATTCTGGCCAGGCACCGATTTGGATGCATTTATTCCACACTGGATTTGCATTGAGATTCTATGTTCATTGGATATCGCGATTTTGCCTGGTTCGATTTGCCACTTCATTTGTGATTCAGTTTTCGGCATTTGTGTGGAGGTACAGTTACAACATTACTGTAGATGACAGTTTACTTTTGGTTTGGATTCATCTATGACACCAATACATTGAGAGGACGTTTTCTGGTGATTCTGGAGGCGATACTCTTGGAACACATTCTGTCTGTGATTCGAGTCCACAATACATTCAACCACTTGTCCTTGTGCATTTCCCAGCATTGCAATTCTTTTGGTGATGATTAGGTCACCCGTTTTGCATAGACATTTTGCAGAGAGAAAAGATTTCAAGGCAGCTTGGCATTCTTTGGAATGCATTTGTGCTAGTGGAGTGTGGATTAATTCCACATTTTCCATTAATCCAAGGGGGCGTGCGAAAGTACACCATGCATTCCCACTTGGATGTAATTCATACTGATTACCATTGCATGGCTCAAGATGACAAAGGTGCATTTGCTGCCTTGGTTGATTAGCAGAGATTAGTCTCTGATTTTCCCAGGTTTGTTGGTTGGTTGTTTGGTTGGTTGGTTGGTTGGTTGGTTGGTTGAATGGTTGGTTGGTTGGTTTGGTTTGGTTTGGTTTGGTTTGGTTTGGTTTGGTTTGGTTGGTTGGTTGGTTGGTTGAATGGTTGGTTGGTTGAAAGGTTGGTTGGTTGGTTTGGTTTGGTTTGGTTTGGTTTGGTTTGGTTTGGTTTGGTTTGGTCGGTCGGTTGGTTGGTTGATTGAATGGTTGGTTGGTTGAATGGTTGGTTGGTTTGGTTTGGTTTGATTTGGGTTGGTTTGGTTTGGTTTGGTTGGTTGGTTGGTTTAATGGTTGGTTTGGTTTGGTTTGGTTTGGTTTGGTTGGTTGGTTGGTTGGTTGGTTGAATGGTTGGTTGGTTGGTTGGTTGGTTTGGTTTGGATTGGTTTGGTTTGGTTTGGTTGGTCGGTCGGTTGGTTCGTTGGTTGGTTGATTGTATGGCTGGTTGGTTGAATGGTTGGTTTGGTTTGGTTTGGTTTGGTTTGGTTTGGTTTGGTTTGGTTGGTTGGTTTGGTTTGGTTTGGTTGGTTGGTTGGTTTGGTTTGGTTTGGTTTGGTTTGGTTTGGTTTGGTTTGGTTTGGTTTGGTTTGTTGGTTGGTTGGTTGGTTGGTTGGTTGAATGGTTGGTTGGTTGGTTTGGTTTGGTTTGGTTTGGTTTGGTTTGGTTTGGTTGGTTGGTCGGTCGGTTGGTTGGTTGGTTGATTGAATGGTTGGTTGAATGGTTGGTTGGTTTGGTTTGTTTGTTTGTTTGTTTGTTTGTTTGTTTGGTTGGTTGGTTGGTTGGTTGGTTGGTTGGTTGGTTGGGTGGGTGGTTGGTTGAATGCTTGGTTGGTTGGTTGGGTTTGGTTGGCTTGTTTGTTTGTTTGTTTGTTTGTTTGTTTGTTTGTTTGTTTGTTTGTTTGCTTGTTTCTAGGTTGTCGCAAGTTGGAGCCCAAGCACTTCGCCTTTCATTTCTTGGTCCTTGGGGCAACTGAGTAGTTTTTGTTGGATCAAGTGTTTTTTTGTTTTTTGTTTGTTTTTTTGGGGGGTTCTGTCTATTTGTCTAGCGTCCGTTCGTTTTTTGTGCCAAAAAAACATACCCTTCCCATTCCCGCTCTGTGGGGAGAAAAAGACGTGGGTCCCACGTTTTTGTTTTTTTTTCAAAAACAAAGTACCCTCACTGGTTTGTGGAGAGAAGTTCATTCATCGCTCCCAGGCCTTTTCCGTTGTTCTTGCAAAATGCCATACCCTTCCCTCGTTTTGCGGAGAGACATTCCTTCATTTTCAGGCCTTTTCCCGGGTCTCCTGCGCGCACGCGCCATTCCTCCGCGCCCTGGCGGCGCAGCTCCGCCAAGACGCGGCGGGCGCCGCGCCAGTGGCGGCCGCCATGGCGCTCAACGCCTTCGCGGCGCCGGGGGGCGACGGCGGGGGCGTTGGGGCGGCCGGGGGCGTCGGAGCCAGGGTGGGGGCCTCGAAAACGTCGGAGTTGTGGGAGTTGGGAGGTGTCCAAGAGGTGGGAAGAGCTATTGGGAGTTGGCCTAAAAGCAACAACGCCTGTCCTTTTCGGTGCCGTGCTCGAAACGGGTGTGGTTTGTCGTTGGGTCCCCTTGAAAGCACTCCTTTTGGAGCCATAGGTGGCCCTTTTTGGTTGTGTTGCTTTCAAAAAATAGATGGGTTCCCCTGGTTTACCTGGTGGTTTAGTCATCTACCAGGACCATCTATTTCCCCGAAAAGGACACCTATGATTGGGAGTTGCCTCCAGGTGGTAACAGGTATTGGGAGTTGGCCGAAGAAAAAAAAAAAAGCAACCACAGCGCCTGTCCTCCTATTCTGAGAAGAAAACGAGCTGCAATTGGCTTGTTGGTATTGGTACTCCCTCCCCATGTCTGGGCATGCAGGGCTAGGTTCCTGGATCCCCCATTCACTTTGTCTCTGTTAAAAGGGGGTTCAAAGGCAGCTGCACTGGGCTGGTGGGTCGCTTACGACAGCTTGTTTTTTCCATAGGGTTTCATCCATTCCAACTGGTGCAATGCGTAGATTTTGTCCATCCACGGTATTAGACCCTTTGAGACCAAGTCCAGGTGGTTTGAGTGCAGGTTGCAGGAGGCCGCAGTATTGGTCGAGGTGAACATTGACATGGACCAGCCCTAAATGTTTGGTACTGCTTACAAAGAATGGTAGTTATCAGCTCCCTTGCTGAGTTCCGTTTCGGACTTTAGTCACTCTTGGGGTCAACGGACCATTTTAGTGGCAACCACAAAGCTTGGAGTTTGTTTGCCACCACTCGGCAAGTGAGTTGAAGAGGTGTTTCTTGGAAAACAAGTGGCAAAAGCCAGAGGCCCCCTTTGTTTTCTTTTTGAAAGGAGTTGTCATTTATGTAAACTCCACCAATTTCACCCTCTAAATCCATTTATTCTGATGGGTTGGGCTTCACTTCTTTTTGTAAAGTGTTTTTGCCAATCGGGTAACCGTAGGTACCGCGCTCTTTTGAGGGAATCCTTCACTTCAGAAGTTTGCCAACAATTCGATGAACCTGTGGCGTTCTCTGAAGCCAAGGAAGGTTATGGTTGCTCTGAATGTTCATGATGTGCAGCAGATTAAATGACACCAGGTTGATGAATAATTGGGATATAACCACGTTGGGGGAAACCACCCGCTTATGAATCCACAAGTCATTGGTCCAGGTGAAACGTGATACAAAGCGTTTCGCAGAAAACCGATCTGGAAACGATCCCCCATTCTTGCAGCATCCAGCTGTTATGGGACTATGTTTTGCGGGGTTCTGACCGGAAATAGCCCGAAGCCCCCTGGCGCCTCCCCCAACCGTTTTTTTTTGTTTCACAAGAAGAGCTCAGTGAATTGGTCAGCTCCGTGTGATAAAAAGACACGGAGCCAACGTGAAACGAAGCATTGGCGCGCCCTTTGAGAAGCCCAGCGGGTCCGACGGACCTGGCAAGATCTGGACCTATGTCCGGTTTTTTGGATCGGATCCCCACCATTTGGATCCCCATCTTTCTTGTGAACCAGGCCCTGAAACTAGGCCCCAGCAAGCCAGAAGAAGATGAGGGCCTGAAAAGAAGGCTTTGGGTTTGGGTGTAGAGGGCTTTGAAGCCAACATCTAGGGATGTTTGTTTGGGTGGATGGGTCGGGGGGTCGGAGGTGATGAAGCACTGCGACAAGGAGCTCTTTGAGGCTTTGGTCACCGGCTCCGTGAGGCGATCGGTTTGGCGGATATTTTGAGGCAGTCGCTGAGGTCCTGGACTTTAATGGCTTTTGGGGGTTGAGCCGGAGAGGTGCTTCGGGCACTGGAAGAGCTGTAGAGGAGCTGTAGAGTTCCTGAGGAGCTGTAGAGGAGTTTTTGAGGAGCTGCAGAAAAGCTATCAAGGAACTGTGCAAGAATCGTAGAGGAGGTAGAGGGGTCTGTAGAGGAAGGAGCTGGAGAGGTGCCTAGCAGAGGCATAGAGGGGGAGCAGGTGTAGAGAGCTATAAGGGAGCGAGCGGCTGTGGAGGAGCTATAGAGGGGCAGTAGAGGAGCTGCAGAGACCATGCCAGTGGCGCTCCAAAAGTTTGGACTGTTTGTTGGCCCGTCTGGATCGGAAGTGAGAATTGTTTGCACAACCAGTCTTCGGTTGCCAGCTGGTTCCCATGTACGGAAAAGCAAAGGGAAGTTGGTGAAACGAAAATCATTTTCGCGTCTTTGCACAAGTTAGCCCAACTGTGGTCTGCTTGTTGAAACAGCAAATCGAGGAGAACTGACCTTTGGGATTCCCCTTGCTCGTGTCACGTCCTCACTTTCTTAACTTTGTTTTTTTTGGGGGGGAGACCATTTTAGTGGTAAAAGAAAAGTTTGGAAAGTGAGTCATGCAAAAAACAAGTGGACCCATTGGATTACCATGACTAGAACTACTCTACGTCATGGTAAACCACAAGGTCAATATATGTTGGTCCCAGAAGGACTTTCAGTGTTTTGATCCACTTCCACTTTCTGAAGTGGTGCTGCTCATTTTCCAATTGGCTTTGTGGAAGCTGGTGACTATTGTTTTATGTAAGGGATGCATTCCCATTAGATGTGTTGACGTTCTCTTTCGGCGGACATTTCTGGGCATCCGAACTTTCGGCGGGAACGAGGGCAAGCCCTGCGACGTTGGTTCCGAAGCCGGTGTTTTTAATCGGATAACAGGAGGCTAATTGAACTGATTCAAGAGCATGTCATGTCGCTTTTGTCTGGCAGCTGGTACTAGGGGAGTATGCTTGTTCATTGCCAGGGTATGCAGATACGCGTCTCTATTTTCCCGTGTCATAGCATGGGCAAACCATTGGCTCTGGGCAATTGCTACCTTCGCCGTACCAAGGTGTTGGTTTACGACCTTGCCCCGAAGGTCAAAGGAAGCTATGGCAAAGTGCTTCCTTCGTTTCCAGATTACAAGGGCAAGCCATGTCCCCCTATGTGGAAACCGTTGCGTTCACTCAGCAAATTGGGAGAACTCTCCCCAATTAGGTTGGAGTCTAAGGGAGAAACCAAGAGGACCCCATAAATGTTCAGCAAATCCTTTTCCGCAAAAAGTCTCACCCGTATCGCTCTGCTTTGTGGGTTTGGGGGGCTGTGAGTTTGTATTTGTTTCCGTCACACGCGGAAGAAAAAAAACGGTATTTGGAGTAGGGGGCCACACCCAATGCTTCTAGCCAAAGCGATTCCTTCGTGTACCTAGGGCCCGCCCTACTTTCAGCCCACCCCAATGTTGTTGGTGAAACACAACATAAAGTAAAACCAAATCCATTTGAGTCAATGACCATTGTGGGCGCCTCCTCTTTCTTTCAAGTTGCTACCCCCCCTTTTTTGGTGGGGTTTTCCAGGAAAAAAACACCAAACCAACCCCCCCCCCCCGCCGGCTCGCTCCGTGGGCCCACGGAGGCCTTGCGTGGGGGACTTCACCATGACCCAAGCAGCCCTCACGGTGGACGCCCTCGCCCGGTGCTCCGAAGTGCGCCTGCGAGTGCAAGCCACGGCCCATGCTGTCGGTGGGTGTGTTGCGGGTACCCGTTTTTGGGGAAGGGTTGAACGGTTGAACCAACAGGAAGCTATTTTGGGCAGGTCCAACATACAACCATGTTTTGTGAGGGTACCCCTTCTTGGTTGGTTGAAAGGGAGCCAACAGGAGGCCATTTGGGAGTGTTTTTTTTGAGGGTACCCCTTCTTGGTTGGTTTACAGGGAGCCAAAAGGAAAACCGAGGACGTTTTGGGGGGATCCAACCTGGAAGAAGACACACCCAGGACACATGCATGTTAATTGCAATGTTGCCAAAACAACACCAAGAGGCGGGGAATGCTGTTTGTTTTGTCTGGGCAGATTGTGACGGGTGTAGCGGTCCGAGGGTTAAAAAAGACTGGTCTCTCATGGCGAATGTTTCTTACTGGGAGGCTTCCTTAATTCCAGGTTGTGAATTTGACTCATTTGCCCAAGATAATTAAGCCAATGCAAGCTGAGGAGGAAGAGATAACTAACCAGTTCAACTGATGCTCGCAGGTGAGGCCTTGATCAACTAGCATAGCTCGGTTGAGCTGGTAGCAAGTCCTTGCCACGCTCCGAAGGAGGCCCCCAAAAGGAGGGCTGTGCGCTCCTGCCCAAGTGAAGCACGTGCTCAAAAAGCTTTGGTAGATGGTTATCAGGGACGATCCCCTTGCCATAAATAGCTGCGGATACTCGCCTTCTTAATTCTTGAAGCATGGTTCTGGGATTGCGACCATTCTAATACCGGGTTTTGAGTGTGACTCAAGTGTGTTTTAGTTGCAAGCAGAATGCGAAGCAATGACACTCTCCTAGATCCTTCTGTCAATCAGGGAAACTGGTGACCCCCACTGCCACCGTGTCAACAAACTCTATCCATAGCGCCCGCACACTCCATGCACCCCCTCCCTTAATCGACTTCCCCAACTGAGTGGCCCATCTAGCCCTCCAGCTTTCCTTGCCTATGGCACCAAGGACGGAGGACCTTGCTCGTCAAGCCTTCCGAAGCTTCGTGGATCATTGGCTGCTCCGGATGCAAGTTTGGTTTCATGTTTGGTCAATAAAATGTGCTATCTTTACAGTGTTTTTGTTCAATCCCGCCGCCTAAAATTTGCTGCCCTCAATGGACAAGGATTTCTCTTTGAACATGAATCACTCCCAAGAAAGAGACAAGACCATGGAACGTGTCCCCCTCCATATTCAATCAGCAACGCAAACCACGCCCTTCCTTCTGAGATGATCCACCCGAACCTGGATCTCCCTTTGCTCCATGAATTTGTTGGGAAGGGTTCCCCAACATCAGCCGAGAGAACAAGCATGGTTTCCGGCACTGCTTCCTTTTGAGGGGAGAGACGGTGTTTGGACTCTTCTTTTTGCTCCGGGGGAGGGCTCCCTTTTCGGCAAACAGGCCACTGGGTTCAGCAAATTCCAAGTTCCTAACTTAGCACTGGATGAACCCCGTCATACAAACCAACCACGGGAAATCCTAAAGTAAGTTTGCCAAAATCCCCTAGTTTGTTGTAAATTCTTGCAGCATTTCCTGCAAGAACCTCGTTTTTGTTGTTCTACCCCTAACCGTTTGTGTTTGACCCCTAGCCGATGAAGACGTCAAAGAGGTTTGGGGTAAACAAAAACCAAACCGAGTCTTTCTTCCAGGACATTTGCGTTTTGTGCTTCAGTTTCTTGGATTCGAAGGAAGCTTGTCGTATAGGGAACCTCTCCTTTTTAGCCCCAAAATAGCAAAAACTTAAGCACCACTAATTTCCTTTTAACCCACTCACCCTAGTTAACCCTATTGACCATTTTTCCCATTTTTCACCCACTAACCTACCATTTGCTGAAATGGACATGTGTCATATTGCGACATTTTCCCCTGTTGGTTTTATACGCATTCCACAACTGGCACCACATTTTCTTGGGTTTTTCCCGACGAAAAAGCAAGTGGACCCTTTTCATAAATGTCCTTTCAACCCATCAATGTTTTGTTTACTACCCCTGTTTAACCCTCTTGACCATGATTTGCGTTTTTTTTTTTGTAATGCACTCCTCTTCACCCACTAACCCTCTTCTGGCGGTTCCAACTCCAAGAAAAAGGCACTACAACTCCTGTCCTTTTCTTGCTGGTGCAGGTAGGGAATGAGAAATGGAATGAACCTGGGAAGTGGTCCCCGAACAAAGGAAGAAACACCAGTTGGATGGTTCTTCCTGGAGTTGGGCCGAGGCCCCATGGGTTCTGAATTATAACGACCTCACACGACCTCACCCCAAATGGTGGTGTATGTGGGGAATAGCCCCCCAACCACCGCAAGTTTCAGGCTGGTGAAATATGGCTGTGGGTCAAAAATGGGTACCCAAAATGGCTTGCCCTGGTAAATGGAACCAAGGACTAAAAGCTGCAGTCCAATTCCTGGTGGTTAAATTTTGACCTGTACCCACATGGCTGTGGGTCAAAGCCAATGGTACCATTTTGGGGTAGGTGAATTCACCACCCATTCTAGTCTGTTGTTCGTGGGGATTGGCATGTTCACTGGGGGGTAACCGGTTTTTTGACCCATGCCCATACTACAATTCGCCCAGATGGCTTGGGCCAAGGCTCCGAGTGGGGCAGCTCAGCTTCGCGGAGTGTGAGGACCTGGCGCGCCTCGCCAGCTCCGCCGTGCGGCTCCAGGTCGAGGAGACAAGTCGATTCGGCTTCCTCTGCGGCTGCGGCTCGGTGAACCATAGGTTGCTCCTGATTCTTCGCCCAGAACCCCGTGTTTTGGTGGTTTTTTGAAAGTAAGACTACATATTCGTGGGCTCCTGGCAGTGGAACGTGTCAGTTGTCCTTTGGCAAAGTTCACTGGGCGTACCCTCCCACCCGTTTCCCATGGAACCTGACGAACGGGGGTTCCTTTAAAAGGAAGCTGGTCCAAACCAGCACCCCCCCGAACGTCAGGTTCCATGTGAAAAGGATGCGAGGGGATGTCAGAATACTGTGGATGGTTGCGAAATCCATTCGCACCACGAAGTGAGTTACCATGGTTGAAGCCGTAAGGTTTGGTGGTATTTACGTTAGAATCGAATCAGAAGCCAGGGTTTCTGAACTGCTCCGGGTGCCAAGCCAAATTGACCTGACCATGGCCTTCAGAATTCGGCTGAGGTGTCTGTCAAACCGATATTTTGTGTCATAATAAGAAAGAAACATATTTGTGAATGGTTGCTCCTGATTCTTCTCCCAGGACCACGAGTTGTTTTCCCTTCTGAACATCACATATATATATATATATATACACACATACATACACATACTTTACATTGCTTGTTTTGGCTGCTCCTGAACCATGTCAGGCCTCGCCGTCTAAAATTAGTTCTTTTCCATGAGAAATTCAGGGAGTCCTCACTTGGGATGATGGGCACAAAGTCCTTGGATTCTTGGTTTGCCACTCAACTGGTCACCAAAAATGTGAGGAACGCTCGTGAACTCGAGGAAGAGTTTGGAGAAAGGGGAAACAAAATGAACTATAAACTATTGACCCAACTGGTGCAATATTTAGTCCATCCACAGTAGGTCCGGTGGAAATTACCAGAGGACGTGAACATTTCCAGGATGGAACCGAACAGCTGGGCCCCGTCGAGGGGCTCCTCCACAACTCACTTCCTGAGTTTCTGGACTTTATTATTTTTGGGAAGACCATCTTCGTGGTGAATGAAAAGTTCGGACTTTGTTTGGCCAATTCACTCAGGAAGCGAAACAAATGGTTGTTGGGGTTCCACATGGAAGTTGCCGTCAACTGAGCCCCTAGTGGTTGCAAATTCAGCGTGTCTCATAAGATTGCACCGGGCTGGGAAACTCCTTTACACCAACCAGAGGGAAGCCTTTTGGCTGAAACAGGCCAACCTAGAGACAAACAACGGGTGGGGAGAACATCAATCAAGGAGAACAGAGCTAAATTGATCCCGTCCGCGAAGCAGGACAGCTTCTTGGGCCCTAAATCAGCGGGGAGTTGTTGCCTTCGGATGAGTTGCACCCCGAATTAGTCCGACGAGCTTGGCTTTGGAGGTAAGGCGACAAGGTCTACTGTACAAGCTCACATTGCGGTTAAAAAGGAACCCCATGCCTGCGAAACTACCTGAAATGTACCCGGAGAGGGGCACCCCCTACCTGTAGTGCTTAAACCCCGAGGCCGCTTGAACTTGTTTTGCCTATGGGCAACCATGGTGCATTATCACGTGGCGCCAACAGTAAGGTTTAGGAGGTTGGATAGGAATACAACATGATATGCACTGGACGCATTCCCGACAGTAGGGCCAACAAGTGATGGCTATGCAGCTTCAATCTTTCGTGCCCTCCTCATTCCCCTGCTCTTCATCGGCCAGGCCATTTGAGCTCCTGAAAATGGCATCCTCCTGTTTCCCCAACAGCTGAAAGCTTTGGGTTCTCTGTCCAAACAGGTTGCGCGGGTGGTTTGGGGAAGTTTTCAGGGCGGCTCCCTGGAAGACCCGCTGCTGTTCGACATAACCCGTCCCAATTTTCGACCACGCATTGGTCCCCTCCGCTTTTTTTGTTGTTGTTTTGTTTGTGTCTGCTTTTGTTTTGGTGTTTTTTTGTTGGTTATTTTTTTGTTTTTGTTTGTTTTTCTCTTCGAAGGACGCGGGGCTGAACGCCGCGCTGGCGCGTCTGGGCCTGCGCCGCGTGGGGAGCTTCAGCGCCGCGCAGCTCGGCGTCTTCTGCGCCGCGCTGGCACGGCTGCCGTCCGAAGGCCGCGAGGCCTTCCTGCGCCTCGGTCTGAGAAGCGGGGCGGTCCGTTCTTTTTCGGCCGGTCAGGTGGGTGGCCCGTCATTTTTGTTTTTGGGTTGGCATCCTGTTGGGGATTGGTCAAAAAACAGGCAAGCAGGGAGGAGCACCAGTCTTTGGGAGTGGGCGGCGCGGAGTCCGCCGGGTTTTTTCGTGTTGGCACTCTTTTTTGGAGGGGGGTCGGACTCGGAGAGAGCAGCCGGGTGGCCGGCGGGGCCCGGTTTTTTTTGGCCGCCCAGATGGGTGGCTCGTCTTTTTTGGGTGGGCAGCCTTTGAAAGGGAAAGCAAGAGGAGCACCTGTGTTTTTTTTTGTTAGCTTTTCTTTTGTTTTTTGGGGGGGGCGGGTCCCGTAAAGAAGACAGACACATGTGGACAGTGAGTTGCTTGGCTTGAGGAAATCACTACGTCAAGCGACATTTTCCGATGGGCAAGAGTCACTGTTCAGAAGCGGTGGGGGTTGTAAAGGCAAACTGTTGGGGTGAAAGTCGGGGCAAGTTCGAAGGGTGCAGGGCAAGTTGGGAAGTTGGGTTTAGAGGCTGAGCAGGCAGCGGGCCGCAAAGATGGCGCGCGTTGGTGACCTTTGAAGGTGGCCTGGACCAAATGAGAACATGCAGGAGGGTCGTTCTTCAAAGACAAGCACAAGCAGGATCAAGACAAGTGGCCACCCCGATGATTTGTGTTTTTTTCGGGGGGGGGGGGGTCCTGTTGAAAAGCATATGTTGAGCCCAAAAACCGGGGCGTGAAAATTCGTCAATCCTCAGAATGCGGCCGGCCGGCCAAATGCCGGCCAAATGAGGAGCGTGGCGGCCCTGCGGGCGCTGCCGCAGGCGCTGCGGTCCATGGGCCTGGTGGATCTGGCGCTGGTTGCCCAGGCGCGGCTTTCGCGGCTTTCGTGAAGCCAAGTGGCTCGTCGGTACGGCTTGGCTGGTTTGGTGAAATCGGCCATAGGTGTCCAATTTTTGGTTGGCTTGGTTGGAAAATCGAGGGGTATTGATTCCTGGTTTACCTGGTGGTTTAATCATTCACCAGAAAATCCATCTATTTTCCGAAAAGGACACCTATGGGCACGGCTTTTTCGGGGTGAAAGTGTGCTCCAAGAATGAACGCACGAATCCGGGTCTCTGAGCACGTGCGCGACCTTCAGGGAGTTTGGGGGTTGCCAAAGAAAAAAAAGCACAGCAGCAACTTGTGTGTGTGTGTTCCAAGAACCAAGAATGGGGGGGGGGATGGGTTCGAATTCGAGTCTTAGGAAAGATCGACCCACCCAAAGTGGGGAACAACTGCCTGAAAGGGCACGCGGTTTAGGGTTTGGCTTCCCTTTCAAAGACCAGATCCATACTGCGGAACCCCATGGTGAACAACCCCCCTTGGGCAGTTTCAAGGGAAACGGTAGACCAACGCAAACCTCTGGAAATCCCTATATTTGACTTTGTGGTTTTTTTTAGACAACACCTCTTTGGCCCTCAGATGAGCTTCTTTGGGTAGAGGTGCTATTTTAAATAGCGGGACATGTGGGGAAGCCCAGTTTTCCAAGAATCCTACCCCGAGCCCGATGAAGGTTTCGTTAGGTCAGGGTATGGTATGGGTTATTGGTTCGTTAGAGGTGCAGATGTAACCTACCGCCCCTGGAGTCCTTCGCTTGTGTCCCCCTTTTTGTTTAAAAGACCCCTCGTGGGCTTGGGTGTACTGATGGCTCCAAGCTAATTACTATATCTCCCAAGAGATCCGGCGAGATCGATGCGTCGCCCTATTTTCGGTGAAGCTGCCAAAAGAACGAGTGAATCAGGAGGTGGCAGGCTTGTCTTCCTGCCTCGAACTCATGGCGTTCAGAAACCCCGGCTTCCTTCGTCGTGCTCCCCTTTTTGACCGCTTCCGGAGGTCGCTAATACGAGCATGTCCAGAGAAGGATCCGAGTTGGAATGGAGGGAGGGCTCCTATGTTTTCCCGAATTGGGGGTTGGAGGATCCACAATGTATTCATAATACGTGTATATATATATATTATGTATGTAATGTAATGTAGTGCAATGTAATTTAATGTAATTTAATGTAGTGTAATGTAATGTAATGTAATGTCATGTAAGGTAATGTAATATATTTCAATGTATGTATACATATATGTATATATATATATACATGTATATATATATATATATATCTATATATATATATATTTGTCTATACATATACATGTGTATATGGGAAAATGTGTGTATATTTGGAACGCCAGGTTGTTCAATCAAATACCGCCTTTTACCACAACCCATTGTGGTAGGCCTTGCCTGGGCCTCAAACTAATTGCTTCAAGATGCCTCACGCCGAATACGCCACAACTTGCAAGAAGAGATATGTCCAAACGAGGAATCCGTCCGTTTGGCTATGTTTTTTGCAATATGCATCATGACTGTCCAAAATGCCTTTTCGGGGAAGCTATGTATATATATATATACACAAAATGTCCAGTTCATATGGCGTCGCCTCGACCCCGCTCTTCGATGGTTTGACCAGTGCATGTTTCAGAATTATCCTGATGAACAGTCGCGCATGCCGGAGTGAGACACTGGGGGTGAATTTGGCGGGTGTTCATGGAGCACCATATGGGCATCTCAGCACGGTGGATCAGAAGATATCCGGATCTCCTTTGGAATCCCTTTCCAAGACACAAAGACAAGGATCGCCTCGCACTAGTTGTCAAGGCAAACATCTGGATGTAGCTGCCGGGGTGGCGCAGGTCTTGGTCCACGTGTCCACTTGCCAGGGTTACATTCTACGATTTTTTTTGAGCCACGGCCAGCTCGTTGCAAAGTTCCACGCGTCAGGCCATGGCCACCTGCGACATCACCTTCACCTCGGAGGCTGTGGCTTTGTTTCAGCAGCGGCTGGCGGAGACGGCCAAGGAGGAGCACCGCAACCCAAAGGTCTTTTTGGCCGGTTTCCCCCCCCCCCCCCCTGCGAAGATCTTTTGGCTGTTTTTTTTTGTAAGGGAAGCCAAAAGGAACACCTGTCTTTTGGCTGGTGGTTTTTTATTTTTGGTTGGCTGGTGGCCTTTAAGCCAAAAGCAAAACCCGTTCTTTGCCATTGGGATTTTCGGATGGGCTCGAATGTCTTTGGGCGTGTTATGAGGGACACCACAAGGAAACCCGTTGCGCCATTGGTTGGATCCCCAAGCTTTCGCAAGTTTCATATCCAGGCCAAGTGTGAGACAGACTCAAGTATGGCCCAGTTATCCCGTATGATGTTTTTTGAGTTGCCTTGTGGTGTGGCGGGAAAAAGGGCACTCAAGAAGGTTGGCGTTCTCAAGCCACTGCTGAAAGAGTTCAGCTCAAGATAACTTCTTTGTGAAGTTCGTAACACAAAGCCAAATACAAGGGTAGATTTATGAAGTAGTCACGCAGTCGCAACCCGCCTCTCCTCCTCCCTGTCCCATTTTGGGAAATGGCAATCCATGAGAAGGTGCGCTGTTCCCACAAATAGCCAAAGCGCCTGGACAGCGTACGAGATACCACGGCTCCCTGCTCCAGCTCCAGTTCCACCGCCACCGCAAGGCTTCACCAGCAGCAACGAAAACCAGCCACAAAGCTGTGAGTCATGTCAGACGGGAGTGTTTGAAGGGTCCTTGTTGACGTGTCGGAGGAAAGGTCCAGTGCAAAAGGTTCGCGGAAGAGCGGCGCAAGGGCAGTTAAAGAAGTGTAGGTTGTCTCGTGGAGGCATGCCAAGCATGTCCCAAAGGATTCACGCCGGAAGCTTCTAGTTAAGCTGCTTTTGACTATATATACATATAATCAAGGACCTTCGTAGTGGCCACGAACCCAAAGTGACCTCGCCATGGCGTACACGGACGCCCCCCACCAAGAGGGGACGCCCCTAAATCAAAAACAAATACTACAAGAGCATTTCCGGTCCAACCAATGAGTGGAGCAGGGTTGTCCAGCCGACTTGAGGTTAGCTCTCTCTCTCTCTCTGTCTCTCTCTCTCTCTCTTTCTCTAAAACATGCTGGTGTTGCGCTTGAAACAAATTAAGAGACACACGAACGAGAGCTGCGGAATAGCAAAAGGCAAAACCCCGCAGCTAGAGCCTGAGCCGAAAGCCAAGCGATTTTGGTGAAGTAATGGCTCTTGGCCAAATCACGAAGGGTTGCTTACAGCCCATCGGTTAAGTATGGGTTGAATGGGCTCGGTTGAGGGCGGGGGCAATGCTGCGAAGCTTGTCTATGACAGCTCTTTCATTTCAAGCCATGGAGTAACCCCCACAGGGCGTCGTGTGTTTTTTTTTGAGTTGGTACTCTTTTGTGGTTGCGTCGCAGGGAAGCTTTCAGGAAACCCGCAGGAATGGTACGGATGGACAAACTCCGGCGCCAATTGGTGTTGTCTTGTCCCAGTAGTCATCCCACCACTCAAGAGAAAGGAGCCTTTCTTGTAAGTTGTGGGTAACCTACTGTAGGCCACAACCTACTTCTCAGTCCCTCAAGTGCAGTTAGCTTGGTTGTAAGCAGGTTTTAACCCAGCCCGGGGTTTCAACCCCAGTAAAAGAATGGTTGGCCTAATTTGAATGATGAACATCCTTCGGCAGAAAATAGTGGTTACATTAACCTGCATGGTTTGAATGGTGGTCACTGAACCACCACCATAGGTGTCCTTTTTGGTTGTTGTGGTGGAAAAATAGATTGTCCTGGTTTACCTGGTGGTTTAATCATCTACCAGGGAAATCCATCTATTTGCCCCAAAAGGACAGCTATGACCACCACTTGCACTTGGCAAATCGACAGCTGGCAGGAGTTGGCCCATCTCGCCGCGGATCGCGCGGCGGAGCTGGCCAGCCTGGCGGCGGCGCTGGAGCGCATCGCGGAAGGGTCGAAGGCGCGGGTCTCGGGAAATGTGGGACTAGCTCCCCCGTGCCCGAGCTCTCACCCCGTTGGTTGGGAGTGTTCGGGACCCTGCTAAAATGGGTGTGGCTCAAAATTGAACAGGGGCAAACCGCAGGTTGTGGTCCATGTTTCCACTTACCAGGGTTCCATTTTGGTACCGGTTTTTTGAGCCACAGCCAAATAGAGTACAGAAAAAAGTTGGGAACCTTATTCTATCCTCTCTACTGGAGGACCTGGGGGAGAAACGAGCTCAGGAATGCGGGAGCAATTGGCTGACATACCGGGGGTTGGGAAGGCGAGTCTTGGGGCAAAGCAAGAGAGCAAAGATATACTTACCTCTTAAAAAACACAACTGTTCAACACTTTGGGTAACATGGGCTATATGTCTGTAAAAGATTAACTTCCCCAGGGCTTGGAGTTTTAAGGGGTAAGTACAGCATGAGTCAAAAAGGCTTGGAGTTTTAAGGGGTAAGTATAGCATGAGTCAAAACTGGCGACGTCGTCAGTTTTATGTTGGTTCGCCGGTTTTGACATACAGCCACATGAGGTTCGGTCAATAGATTATGCAGTGGTTGATTCGGGATGGGCAAAAGGACTCACCAAGTATCCCGCAAAGTCCCTGGAGACTCTCTGAACTTCCCAATCCTTTACAGGAACCGAACATTTTGACCAACGCTTGGCATGAGCAATGAACCATACTATGGCCACCTCAATCGTGATCTCCCCATGGCTCCACCGGGGTTAGGCAGAACCCCCAACCCCTGCTCACCACAAGCGGAAGGGCCCAAAAGTGAGCCCGAGATGTCCGCCCTCATTCAACGTCAACATGTATGTATGCTGAATGAATGCGCCAGACACACGTAGCATAGACACTGAACACACCATATGCTGTTGCCTCGTCTGTGTGTTTGTGTCTGGGAAATGCATGAACATTCCTATGCCAGATGTGAGAGCCCCGCGGAACACTTTTCAATCACCTGTGGACTCGTGTCCTCGAGGTGAGCTCAATTGCAAGTCACCAATTATGTGACATGGGTGTCTTTTGTGGTTGATTTGGTTAAACAAATAGAGGGCCCTGGTTGACCTGGTGGTTCAATCAACTATCAGGGCCATCTATTTTCCCAAAAAGGACACCTATGATTATGTGGTGGTATTGCAGCATCTGCCCCACATTACAAGACATGTTGTACACTTGGCTCCTGTCCAGCTACATGCTACACACTGAACAACCAAAGTCGAACATTCAGCAACTTGCACACTGGTTTGTTGTACAGCGCTTCAGCCAGAAAGAGGCAACTCTGGTGTGAACACAGATGGCAAATCGGTCTCGGCACAGTTTGGTCATCACCTGAAAGGCCGCAAAGGGATGTTGCTCGCCTAGGTCCCGCAGCTTAGTGCCCTTTCTCACCCCTTTTTTGGTTGGGAGGGTTCGGGACCCTACTAAAAATGACAGCAAAAAGTTGGTACCAACTTATTCTAACCTCTCAAATCTGGAGGACCTAGCTGCATGATTTCTGGTTGTTAACCAGGGTTGTGGGACTTTTGGCACGGATCCCTGCTTCCAACACTGAAGCCGCGCGCCTTTCCCGGTACAGAAGCAGGGCCGCCAGTCGGAAGACGAGTCGTTCCAAAGGAATCTGCCGTCGGCGGTTGACCTCCCCGCGTTTTTATTATTTTATTTTTTTTTCTTTCGCCAATCTTCAAGACTGACACTGGCCAGTGCCTCTTGAGCATTTGCAAACCTCGCAGGTTGCCTGCGCGGATGCGTCTTTCGTTGATACTCCTTTGGGTGATTCGCATAGGCATTCGCCAAGCCCTCACGCGGTCCCAAGGAAAAAAACCACGGTGCCAGGTCTTGGCGGGAGCGGACGGCAAGCAGTTGCTGGCATCCATCAGGCCCGCGACTTTCTTTTCGGATGGAAGCATAGGTGTCCTTTTTGTTGGCGTTGCTCGAAAAATAGATGGCAATTTCTGGTGTCCCTGGTTGTTTGTTTCTTTTTCTCTTTTGTTATATCCCATTGTCCTTACCAATTGTATTTGCCAATTGCAATTGCCAATTGCAATTGCCAATTGCATTTGGCAATTGGCCGAACATTTTGAGTGTGTTGTTTTTGGGGAGGGTCCTTTTGCATCGTGCTCGCAAACACTATAAACTCATCCAGAACGATTCCTTGTTGCTAGGACATTAGGACATGCAGGGAAGACCACTGGTATATCCGACCATCCGCAGTGAGCAGTGAGTTTGAGTGCACATTTGTCCTATGGCCGTGGCTCATGTCATCTCTAGAACTTGGGGACAAGAGTTGACGAGCCACCAAGCTTGCGCCCAAAGGTTATTGAGAGCAGCTGGACGGCGGCCGGCAGGTGCCATTCCTGGAGATGGACACCTACCCCGTCCTTTAAACACGTCTCGGGTACAATGTGAACCCTGGACCCAAAGAACAAGTATTTGTTGGAAACCCTGGATTTGTCCTGAACAACAACTAGGAATTTGCAACACTGGTGGTCCCTTTCTTTGCCTTCAAAACCAACCAACAGGCTGCCAACTTGAATAATGTAAGACATCCGAATTGGCGAGCATTTGGCGGGTCGGGCTTGGGGTATTTGGCAACTAGACGACTTTCCCTATACATGCCTCTATACAGTTCACTGTCTACTTTCCCTATGCAGTTGAGCAGTACAGATCGCAACGCCTTTAGAAGAACCCTTCGCAATGCTTTCGGAACAAAAACGAAGCATGTTTTCGTTTTCTGGTTTTTGGGGAAAGCCGAGGGGTTATTTTTCTTGGTCTAAGGGCATCTCTGGATGGGAAGCCAAGCGCACAATGACGGCTCCGAGGCCTTTGTCCATGGACCTCATCGCTCGAAGGGCACTGCGCCTGCGGACGGCGGCAGCGCTTATGGCGCTGCACGCCGAGTTTCGTGTGCGGGATGTGGAGCCTCGGTTAGATTGGCTTTTCGTCATCCCTGGAAATGGGTGGGTTGCTGGGATAGGTTTGGTGGAAAAGGGTGGGTTGGCTGTTTGGTGCTTTGGTGCTTTGGTGGTTTAGCTGGTTTCCCATTGACCCTCTTGTAGTACAAGATCTGGCACCAGGGGTTCAAGTCCAAATCCGTTTGCTTCCATTCAAGGGAGAAGCACAGGGTTCCCTGCTTTTCCCGTTTCGGAACCGCCCCAAAGTGGCGATTCCAACGGAAATTTTGAAGGGAAATCCAGCGACCCCTGTTGTTTGCTTCTATTTGAGGGAGAATGTCTGCACCTGCTAGCCCCTCAATTGTAACGCTAAACGAGACATTTCCAAAAGTTGATGGCGGTCTTACAAGTGAAACACCAGTGCTACTTTGCCCGTTCGGTACCACTCCAAACCGATCGAAGCACGTTCAGCCCAAAAAGCGTTCGTGCGTTCAAACGGCAGTCAAAGGCGTTCAAGAAGGGTTCAGAAGTCGTTCTAGAGCGTTCGGAACAGTACAGAGCCATACTGTTGTTGCTAGAAAACCCGAGGGCATGCAAAATAAACATCCGATCCGGGCAGTGTGCAAATGTCCCGTTTGGCGTTACAAGTGCGGCAAATTGAGAGGCAGCAGGTGGGACGAAGTGTTTGGATGGTATACAAACAAAAAGAGGCTAGTCTCCTGGGATCTAAATACATTTTCCTGATTTCTGGTCCACCCAAATATGGACCAGAACTTCTTGTTTCTTATGCTTATTTGGGACCTTGAGGTGAAGGCTTTTTGAGGGTCTCAAGAAGTTACTCTGGGGGTGGCTGCCTCTCAACTCCACCATGAGGACCCGCATTTCTTCGGGATCCTTGACATCATTTGCATGGTCTAGGTTCCCAACAAATATGGTTATCAGAATCAATTGTTACCAGAATCAACATACTGTGGATGGTCGAAATCCTGCACCAGTTGGGAGGTGGCTTACCCCAGCGTTTATTGGGTTTCACCCATTCCAACTTGTGGAGGATTTGTCCATCCACAGTATCACTTTTGCCTAGGGGGCAAAGGCTGTTTGTTTGCAATGTTTTCGGCAGAAACTGTTGGTGAATCTTGTGGAACTCTTTGCAAATCCTATATAAAGGCGGCACCATCAGGGTTCCAAAAGAAGGGCCAGTCTGCTTCTTCCCGCCTTTGTAAGTGTCAACGAAAATTGAGAAGGCCTGGGTTTGTCCTGGAGCTAAAAGGAGATAACGAAGATGGTATACCGAGGCAGAACGCTGGGTTTGGGGTCCTTGTCACTTTCGAACTAGGCAGCACGAATCGGATCCTGCGGTCCCCACTCAAGGATACTTGTCGGCAGCACTTCAGCAAGGGTACGTCAACAAGAGGAACCGACTCTTCTAAAACATTGGTGTCATATTCCTGTCCTTTTGAAAAACCAAATGTGTCCGACTCATGTTAATACTAACCCTTGTGGGCAGAAAGGGTCGTCAGAAATGGTTGTGGCTCAAAATTCAAGAGCTAGGGTTACGCAGGTTTTAGTCTTTTGGTTCCATTTACCAAGATGCCATTTTGGTACATGTGTTTGACCAACAGCCAAATGGGTTTGCCTTTTTTTGCCTTATTCGGTCGGAATCGTGCCATGTCCTTTTTCTTACATATGTCGGAAGCCGGTGTGTCCTCGTGTTTGAATGCCAGACATGGAACCATTCTGTTGGGTGAACGCTGCATAGCACTCAAGCGACACGCCCTTCAACTGATCGGAGTTTCACGAGTCAGGAGTTCAACAGATCGGCGGTCTTGAGAGCTGCCCTTTTGGCCCTCGTGTCTTCAGATTTATTTGCGCTTATTGGAAAACCACCAAGTGGTCAATGTGAGTGTGGCTCAAAATTAAACACGGGTGGCAAACCGCAGGTTTTGGTCCATATTTCCACTTACCTGGGTTCCATTTTGGTACCGGTTTTTTGACCCAGAGCCATATGTGCATTTCCCCGCAAGTTACCTTGGGGTCCTCTTTTCAAAGCAAAGTTCTTTTGTTTGGCGCCGTGGAGAGTTATTTGGTTCACCCAGTTTTAGAGTTCCATTCTCCCTTTTTGCTGGTTTCAAGCATCACCTTTTGGTTAAAACAAGTTTCTTTGCGGAAGTTTTGACAGGGTTGCTTTCAGCCTCAAACAGAGCAACACCCAAGTCAGACAACTGGTGAGCAGTTTTCTCTGGTTTTCCTCGGATTGAATTTCTGTACCCAACGTCAGCGCATTCATCTTAGTTGACGATCGGAATGTGTGGGAGACCACTTTCCTTTTGTGGAACATGTGACAAGCAGAAGGTGAGAAGGGTCGAATTGCTGAGCGAGCACCAACTCAACAGTTTTGACACCTCATTTTGACACACACACACACACAAAATGGCCATGGGTCATAACCTATGGCTCCATTTTGGGGCGGATGACACCCATGTACCACCTATTTTGATGTTCACCAGGGGTACAAGGTTTTGACCCACAGCCAACTGAGAACGCAACAGGTCGCCTGTGCGATCCTGTGCGACTTGCTAGGCTCTGCTGGATGCCCTTGGGTCTATTTCCGAGACACGGATCTCGCCGGTACTGGCCGGGCGCCTGCTGAGGGGAATGGCGCCTTTGGGAAATCCCGACGCTTGGCCAAGGCGAAAAGGGAGTTGGTCATGTCGTTTTGTGGCGGTACCCTTTTTGGGTGTCTGGAAAGGGAAGCCCCATTGTGTTTCGGGGTTGTCCCCTAAAAGACGCCCATTTGGTTGTCCTGCTTCTTGGGGCCCTTTTGGTCCTTTTCGCAGCCCCTTTTCGATTTGTGTGAGGCCTGGCTTCTGCTTGGTTTCCTCTCTCCTTTCGGTTCCCCGTGGTTTCTTGCGGCGTTTCCCTTTTGGTCTTGCCCAATTGGGAGGGGACAAGGTGTTCGGGCTTGGGCACGTTCGAGCGTCTGCAACATCACCCGCCCTCTGTGTCGATGTCAATTGGTTTCACCTTCTTCGTTGTGGTCTTTTGATTGGCCGATGTGGGGTGGGCAGAAGCATGTTTGAAGAACCCCTTGAAGGCAAACCAAGAGGTGTAGCGATACCCCAGCTCCAAAAAAGGCTCAGCGCAGACATCGATTTTCTCCATAAGTGAACCTGGTTTAATAGAAGGTCCTACACAAACCGTTATTTAATTATGATAGAAACTCAAAGTCAATGGGGTTTGCTCGTGAGGTGAAGTCCCTGCTGCTGCTCATTGACGACTCCTTCGGCGCTTCTCGCGGATACCAGCGGTCCTTGCCCGCCCTATCTGCCGACCTTTTCGCTGCAGCCCTGCTGGACTTCGCCTACCTCTCCGAGGAGACCATCAACAGCCCCTGGGCGGGTCGGAAACATCTCAAGTCGTTTCCTGCAATGTTGACCCCGTCTATTAATATGAATTTTCCCTGGTTTTGGTTGGGATTTATCACTCTTCATCAGTATGTGTGTTTGTTTCTGTTTTTTTGTCCGAGAGAGAGAGAGAGCGCGAGAGATCGGCAAAACCCCAGAAAAAAAGTGCATGGGGAAGAACCCTGCTTGCAGTAGAAGCGAGAACTTTTTACTCCCAATGCCAGGATTCATTGATCACCCTCGCTCATTTCCATGTTCGAGGTAAGCCTTCACTGAGGCAACAAAAATCAAAATGTGTTGAGTCAAATTCGTCCGGGTTCAACATGGGTTGAACGACCAAGGCCTGTTGAGTGCAGCTCAAGCATGCTGCGAGTCCGACGCGATTCCATCTGACCGCTCCTTGCCTGCAACGTGCTGGCTGGTCCCACACGCAACCTCCCCTCCAACCCAGTAACCCCCATCGTTGAATATGACATGGCCGAGGGAAAGCTGGCCAACCAGCCGACAAAATTCGACGGACCTCCACAAGAACACTTAAAGCATCGTCAACCTGTCAGCGAGGATTTCAGTTGCAACCATCGACTGAATTTGGGATTTGGGAGGGAAAATCAGTTTGAGTACATTGACATGTCCGAGTTAACTTGGCTTTGTCGGACCCATGATCGTTGAACAGGTTTCTTGTCCGATCGGGTCCAGGCGCAAACGTCGGAGCAACCGTGGTTTCGGCGACTGGAACCCGTTAGAATCCTTTCAGCAACCCTTTTAACATGTTATGCCTGTTTGGTCCATCGAACCTTACATATATATATATATATACACAAATAATATATATATATATATATATATATGGCCACGGGTCAAAAGCCCGTACCCCCAGTGAACATCCCAATCCCCACTAAAATAGTCTAAAATGGGTGGTTCACCTACCCCGAAAATGGGATCCTATTGGTTTTGACCCACAGCTATATATGTGTTACCTGGAAAGATTTGGCGGCCTAAATCGGCGCCTGTCCCATATTCCAGCTCCGAACAGAGAGAAATTCAAGGTCCTCAGAGGGCAGAAACCAATGGCAGTGGGCAGGTACCCACAAGGTGAAAACACACAAATGATCTTTTCTGAGCTTCCGGTTTTGGTGTTTAGAAACAAGGCCGCCGGGGGTGGGTGGGTGCGTCGCCGGTTCTTGTTCAATGGGAAAGATAAGGCAACCAAGTAGTGCGCCATTGTTTCTGGTAGCTTCATGGGTAAGTGAGCCTGGCTTTGGGTACCTTTTTGATTTCCCTCCTCCACAAAAAAGGGGAGAAGAAGCAAAAAACAGTCGAGCCACCCGTGCAACGAGCCAGCCACTTGAGGCGCGTTGCGCCTGAAGTGCGCCGCGGAGCTGTCGGCCGCCGCCCACGCCAGGCTTCGCGGAACGGCTGTTGGCGAGGCGCTCGGCTCGGCGTGGCGGATGCGTGGCCGGAGGGTTCAGCATGGTGACCCCGTCATGGTCGTCGTTGGGAAACATTTTGCATGTTTGATGTTTGGTGGCTTGGTGGGAAATCCCCCACTTAACTGCTAAGATTTGAATTGTTGCTCACCTTCCAACGTCAACCAAGCCGTGGGGGGCAAGACCAAATTGAGCTTTGTGGTAACCGAGATGTCCCTGCTCATTTGGGTCTGGGTCAGAATTGAACCAGGAATTGGACCGCAGGTGTTAGTCCATGTGTCCATTTACAAGGGTTCCATTTTGAATACCTATTTTTGAGGTGTTTTAGTGGAGACACAAGACACTTGCAGTCCCATGTTTTGAGAAACAGCCAAATGGGTGCGAGGCGGGGATGGGAAGGGTAGTTGAGGCCCGGATGCTGCACAAAGCTGTGGGGTTGATCAATCCCTTCGGCCACCAAAGGACCATGTGAAACGTTTCCCATGTGGCTGAAACATCCATTCTTGTTAGTTGCTTTTTGCCAAGCATCAATATTCCTGGCCCCCAAACCATGGGAAGGAAAGAGCTTACAGGAGGTTGACTGTTTCGGAGGGGTCAGTGCTTGAAAGGTGCTCGGCTGTTTTAAAGGGGTGGGTCGGCTGGGGCAGATTGTTTTGAAGGGGGCTTGGCTGTTTGCAAATGGCGTAGGTCTTTGATTTTGTTTAGCGTTGCTTGGCAGTTTGGTTGGCTTGGTGTTGAAGTTTGCTCATTTCCCTCCGAAGCAGATGGTGGATCCAAAAGTGGCAAACACCCAACACCGAAGGTTGCCAAAGTGTGTTCCCCTCAAATATGGGTGTGGCTAAAAGATATCAAGAGCAATTTCCAGGGGACCGCAGGTTTTAGTCTACTTCTACTTTCCCATTTGCCAGGGCAACCCATTTGGACCCGATGCCTATTCTTGAGCCACGCCAGAAGGCTATTGGTCATGCAACTCAGTTCCCAAGCTCAAGCGGTCCATGTCGAGAACATGGGGCTGGGCTCAATGCGCCCAATGCGCTTGCGGAAGTGCCATGGTTTTGCTGGTGGAGACACGGCCCTTATGAGTAAAAGGGCCTTACAAGAAACACAAAAAAGATCAGAAGAAAACAACACCTAAAAACAATGGCCCTCCCGAGTACAATGGTTTGTGCTTACCCATGATCGAAAGGTGACTGTATTGAACTGGTCGGTCGGGCCTATCAAACCCAAAAGGGGGATTGCTTTTCCCAGCACGTCCACTGGACTCTGAATGATTCTTTATGGAGGCGGAATCAAACAAACCCAACCCGACGTGCGCAACAGGTTGGGGGGGAGGGGGGGAGACCTTGATTGAACGAACCCCCCCCACCTTAGAGGCTCCTTTGACAAAAGGGGGACCAAGATGAGGGTGTTTCAAGCATGGAAAACAAGATGCTGGTCCGACCATGGTTCAGACACTTTCAACGTCAACCTCCAAGCCCGACAGCCTCTCCTTAGCTGGTTCTCTGCTTTCGCAGCTCGCTGAGGTGGGTGCTAACAGAGCTTCAACTTTGCTTGCTGCGACTGTTCAGATTCATCAACGGGTGGGTCACTTACTTTCCCTCCAACAATCGCGGTTGACTTATGCTTTTTAGAGGGTCTCTGGCTAGTTTGAAAGAATTCCACAAGGAAGCCACCCGGTTCTTTTGTGGGTCCCACAATACACCGCCCACGTGTTGCAGTTGAGACTCATTGCGTCGAATCCGCAAGCAATGGAAATAGATGACTTATGACTTCGGTAAGACAAACTGACCCTGACCTGTTTTCGTTGGAAGCAAAATTAACACGATATGCTCGGAAAAGCCCATCTGCGGAGATGCTGCAGGAAGTTAGCTCTTAGCTCAAATCCTTGTATGTGGTGGGCACTTGGCCAGTGTCCTGTGGTTTGTTTGCAATCATAATGCCCTTGCCTAAGATTTGTCGCCCTCTCGTTTGAGTCATGGCTATTTCAAGCCTGAACTAGATCCAGTTTGCAGGACAAATGGTCCAATTGTTGCGAAACCAAGCGATTGGAGGGGTCCACGGTCCCCACCAAAAGCGGTGTTGTGGTGGGTTGTCCCCACCACAAACGGTGCCCCTTGTCCGACCCAACTCGGGTCATTGCAACTGACATCGAGTCGATGCGCAGTCCGGCAGCGCAGCCTGGCTGGCAGACTGGGCTGTGGAGGCACGGATGATGCGGAGAGGGGGGCGGTGGGGGGTTGGTCCGCGGACCAATGATAGGCGAGGGGGTGTTCAAAATAGTTCCCCCCCAAAAAAACTGGTTGGTTTCTTTGTCCAATTTTTTGAGGGAGCACTAGGGGCTACACTGATTCTGATCCTAAAGTCATTTCCTCATCTCAGTTCCTGAACTTCAGACTTGTTGGGGTTGGACCATTTTGGCGGTCGAACAAAATGGACTTGTTTTGGCAGGGCTCCTGAAAAGATACATGTTGCAACCATTTGAAGCATGTTGCTTTTTCCACCAAAATAAAGGGAAACCACCATTTACAAGGCAATGTTCAGGTGTATAGTGTAAGGATCCCTGTTTGGCCAAGCATTTTTGCAGTGCTCCTCACGAGGTAGAGTGTGCTGATCCGATGACGATCCCTTGGCAATGTCTTGTCGGAGATACGAAGGGCAGGCCTGGTTTGTCTTTGGATTTGACTGTCACGTGGTCACGTGATCTGTTTCGCATGAACGGGATGCCATGCTTATTTGGCTGTGGGTCAAAACCAATGGTACCGTTTTGGGGTAGGTGAATTCACCACCCATTTTAGAACCTATTTTAGTGGTTGGATTGGGATGTTTACTGGGAGTACGATTTGGGTTGTGACCCATGGCCATCTTGTGCTTGCGAATTGTAGAATGAGAATCCCCTAGTCCAAACGCCCGTGTTTGTCTAGCCCCTACTAAAATAGACTACAGAGGAAAGGGTACCCTTGTTCCAACCTCTCTACTGGAGGACCTAGTTGTTTTGATTACCTCCTTTCTAGTCAGAGGTTGTCATTGTCCCCTAAAATGTTGGTATTAGGCCTCAACCGCCGCTTGCATTGTGGAGACTCAGAGAGGGACCGGAAAAGATGGTCAACTATCAACTTAGGCCTCTAGCTCCATAGGGCCTTGTAGGGAAAGTACCATTCTGCGGGGGTCTCTCCCAAGTTCGGGGACGTGACACGTCCAATGCTAAGTCCTAGGACCTAAAAACGCTAAAAAGGCCCTTCGCTGTGCTTCAAACGAAGCCAAGTTTTGAAACATGACCGTGCCCAATCCCGCAGCAGTTTATCCAACGACCCCTTTTTGGACCCTCCTGGAAACCAGACCCTGAGCCCCTTGAAACATCTCGGGTGAATTCCAACCTTTTTGTTTATGGGTTCGGGTTCTGGCTTTGACCCCCAACAATTTCGTTGAGGGATTCCAACTTTTTTATGGTAGGGTTCTGGTTCCGCGGGCTTTGACCCACAAATTCGTCGAAGTCCCGTTGCCTCGGGCCTTTCCAGGTGGCTGTGGTTGTCAAAACCGTTTTGGGATGCCATCTTGCTTGGTTGCTGAATTCACCACCCATTTTACTTCCCCAGAATTAGCTCCCCTTGTTGCTTTTGTGCTTTTTGGGGGTTCCCTTTGTTTTTTCCACTAACCAGGCAAAAAGTATGTTTTTGTGCTGGGGTCCTAATTCCAGCCAAGTTTAGAACCTATTTTAGTGGTTGGATTGGGATGTTACCACTGGGGGTACAATTTGGGTTTTGACCCGTGTCAAGGTCTCCGGGTCTGACCCGCAGCTCGCGCCGGCCTTGGTGCCGCCGGCGCCGCAGGGCTTGCGGCGCTCCGTCTTCGCCGCCCTGCGGCGGGCGGGGCAGGAGCCACGTAGACGTGGCTGAGACGCCTCTAAAGGGAAGCCCGAAATGGGTTGTGTTTCCATTGGTCTGGGTGAATTATATCGACCTCACGCGACCTCACCCCAAATGGTGGTTTATGTGGGGAGTAGCCCCCCAACCACCTCATTTCAGGTTGGTGAAATATGATAATTCACCTAGATTGGTGTCCGTTAAACCGTTAAACCCCTAAAATGGGTACCCTCAAAAAGAGACAAACTCGGGTCTGAACACCTGAAGAAAAAAAACAGGTCTTAACACCTGGCAACCTGTTTGGGCGAAAGTACCAAGTTCAACTTTCGGGGAACAAGGAACTAAAGGCAAAGAACGAGTGGGACTGCTAGATTTAGGAATTTGGGCTCAGTCAGGCACTTGTACGTGTGTGTCCTTTTTGTCACCTTGGTGAAAGGGAAGCCAACAGCAACACCCTGCCAAGATTGATGTTATCAACACGGTTTGGGCAAATGTTGTTTGAAGAAGCAGACCCTGGGCCCCTTCAAAGAGAACTCAACAGAGGTTTTTCGAACAAAATTGGATTGAACACGTTTACACACTAAGGTGCTCAACAATGCACACTTAGCTTACCTTTTTCTCTTTTTGCTGGTTCCGGCGAAACCAAAACTATACCAAGCCAGTTGACCGCCTGACTGGGAAAATGAGGGGGCTACGTTACCCTTTGTCCAACAATAATGGAGTTGGATGAACGTTTCCTTATGTCCACTTCCATGAGTATTGGATTTGTTTGGTTGTTCACCCTGCTTGACAGACATAAGTTCGACGCTCTCATGCACTTTCCGTTCTGAAGAATCAAGAGGAGTTGCGCCGAGTTCCCGTCGGAGTTGCCCAAAGCAGCCTTTCGTGGTTTTTCTCGTATCTTATTTTGGCTTCGTTTGTTCTTGGGCTCAACAGGATTTACCTCTAGTCTTGACTGCTATTGGGTTGGATCTTTAGACTTTAACTTTTGGGGAAATCAAGGGGTTTTCCACTAAACGCCAAGAAAGTTGTTCACTTTTTGCAGGGGGGTCGTTACAGCAACCAAGTAGTCCTTTGTGCGATTGTATCTTATTTGGTTTCGTTTGTTCAACAGGATTAACCTCTAGTTCTTTGTGCGAGAGAGAGAGAGAAGAGTTCATGTTTCGTGGCTGGATCCTCAAGCGAGGTCATTTTGGGCGTCACCAGCGAGTGGAGGCTTTTTTCGAGCGGGAACCCTCCGAGTACTTCCGGTGTCGTTGCCCGATTAGGAGACAGTCGCTCCCCTGTGCATGCAAGCCAAAACTGGCCCCTGGTTCTCGAGTTGCAGCAAAACAAGCACCAAGCCTGCGAAGACTATCTACTAGGTCCCCCAGTAGTGCTCTTTCTCTTGGGAGAGGGTTCCCCTGCTAAAATAGACTACAGAAAGAAGGGTTTATCATTCCACCTCTCTACCGGAGGAGCTAGGCTATGCTTGACAGGCTCCTGACAGATCTGACTCGAGTGAGTCACACCTTTTTGGTGTGTTGTTGATCAATATTCCCTTTGGCCCCCGGCCACGGCCCTGGACAAAAACATCCAACCAACGGTGCCATGTTCTCCGGACCTTTGGATCAACCATGTTGGCCGATATGGAAAGCTTGGACTTGGACCCAAGATCCACGCTGAGATTTTGAGCCCAAGCCCTTGCGGGCAACCCCCATGGCGCCGAACCCCTTACAAGACCATCCCAGAAGCAGTATCTTTTTTTTTGAAAAGGATTTGCACTCATGTTGAGCTGTTGGGCTTGTTGCTTTTGCCGATTGGTTTCTCCTGATGCACACGTACCTATCCCACAATTTGCCTTTTCCCAGTGTCTGTTTGGATTTGCAAGCGCACCCCCCCCATCAACACCCGCGCACCCCAATGTGTTTTTCCAGCGAGGAGGTCCCCTTGCCTGGTCTCAGCGCAGAGGCGCCGATGGGATCCAGATTCCAAGGGGCAAAAGTAAACCACTAGGGGACCGCTGGCTTTGTGCTTATTTCCATTTGGGCAAGCCATTTTCGGCACAATATGTTTTGACCCACAGCCAACTCCCAAAAGGTCCGCGGGTAGGCGCTCGATGCGGAGTGGCGCGCGTCCGCGAAGCCACTCCGCGAAGGGCTAGCTCAACGCCTGCGCCCTGCGCTCCATTGTGGCGCATCACATCGCCCAAAGAGAAAACCTGCGACCAATCAGCCAGCCAAAAAAAACAACAACGAACCAACGCATTTAGGACTGACACGAATTCGCATCCTTTTAGGGGCAACAGAGGCGCAGGAAATGAGGGGTTTCTGAGATACAAGGGAAGGATGAGTCCAGTATCACAAAAGCTGGTGATTCCCGTTGCCACGCCCGGGTGCTACATGTTTGATTTCCCCAGGCGGCCAAGAGGGAATGGGCGATTGCTTGTCTTCCCGCAGCACCCAAGGCAAACCTGAAGGACTTCGTTTTCACACTAGCTAACACAACCGTTAGACAACCAGGGGCGCAAACATGTTTGACTGTATCTCTGGATGGCAATAGTTGCGGGGGAGTCCCATCTCAGGGCCAAACATCTCCGCTACTCCCAAACAACTTGAGCATTGAACACGATTAGAACGACTCTTAAACAAACTTGAAAAGCACAGTTTGAAGCAATCCCTGGTTTACCCTCTTTCCAGGAAACATAGAAGCTGCCATAAGGTTTTGCAGTCTTTGGAAAGAGGATACTTGGGTGTTCAGCCTGGCCCAAGTTAGGAAGTTGTTGGTAAACTAGGCTGTAACCCACTTGTAATTCCCCCGTGACCGCGAGGTTAACCTTAGGGTGTGAAATACCCCAAAGTGGCGATCCCCACTTACTAACTTGGCGAATCGAACATCCAAGCAGGAAACGTGTTGAGAATTCCCCTACGAAACAAGACACCCCCGGTGATTGGAAAAAACGTTAAACATGTCGACGTCCACGCGGGCGGGCGGGGGGGGGGACAGTCGTCTCCCGGTGCAGGTGGGGTTCGTCTCGGATTTGGCCACCAAAGGCGGAGTGGCGGTGGAGGTGAATGGTCCAGAGCGCTTCTCGGCAAGGGCTGACTTGAAGTTAATACAACCGGCACCCGGGTAAGTTTCAACTCGTCCGAGCACGTGTCATGGGAGCGTAACAAGTTGGCTATGCACGTGGAGAAGTGGACCCAGCATGTACTTCAACAGGACAATAAGTATCCCAGAGTCATAGAGCTCGAAACCGCCGGAAGCCGGACCCAAAAACATGGCTGTGTTCCTGTGGCCGTTTGATCGCCCTTTTCTCCATTCCCTTTTCCTTGGGTTGAGACCGCAGTTTTAACCTGCCTCAAGAACTCAACAACTATTGATTTAAAAACCTCCTGGTTCCCAACACAAACCTGGGGTCTGCTTAGGGTACCCTCAACTGACTCGCGCAGTATTTCCTAAGATGCCTTTTCATGTGAGTTTTCTGGATTCCTTGGGCTGGGTTGATCCAGACAGCCCTCGAAGAATGGCTTCAACCTGAAGGAACAAACTTCTATCCGACTTGTCGGGTAGTTTGGGCCAGAGGCCAAGACTTTGGAGAGTTTCCGGTGGTTTTGCCGCGGAGATATCCACTGGGCTTGACTTCACTGTTGGATCATTTTTTTTGTTTTTTTAACGAGTGGTTTTGGTTCTGTTGTTTAGTAGGTTGCAAGCAAAGCCGCCTGCTTTTGTTGCCAAGCTTTTAGGTTTCGAGTTGTTTTTCGTTCTGAAATTTTTGGTAGGGGCTTAAAAGGACAGCCCGCTTTTTCGAAAACCTTTAGGTTTCGAGTGGTTTTGATTCTGCTGTTTAGGTTGCAACAGAAACAGGCCCCGTTTTTGTTTGGTTGCCAAGCCATACCAATTGTGAGGTTGAGACATTTGGCCATGGGTCAAAACCCTGTACCCCCAGTGGTTACATCCCAATCCCCACTAGAATAGGTTCTAAAATGGGTGGTGAATTCACCCACCAACCAAAATGGCATCCCAAAACGGTTTTGACCCACAGCCAGATAAGCATGGCATCCCGTTCATGCGAAACAGATCACGTGACCACGATGACAGTCAAATCCAAAATGGCATCCCAAAACGGTTTTGACCCGCACCCATTCGGATCGTAGGTTTCTACCTGGACAGCGTTGAGCCGTTGGCGTGCTGCCGTTTGAAGCATCGCGCCCTCTCGGCGGCTTTCCCAGCGGTCAAGGCGAGCCGAGTCAGGAAGCGCATGGCTCGCTTTTTTTTTTTGTTTGGGGGGGGGGAACGGGGGGGAACCAGCTTTTGGTCAGTTTTGAAGGGAAGCCAGGTGGTTTTGAAGGGGAACCACCAGGAAGCCAGGCATTTTGGGGGTCTTGTCTCCCTCGTTGACACACCCAAAAAATGGCAAGGGAGATGCCAGGGCTCATGAACCTCCCGCTGAAGGGGCACAAGCTGCGTAGGGGATAGTGCAAACAGATCACCCCCCAACGCCGTGTTGTTTTCTCAGCTCGGCCACAATCGCTTGGGGAAACCAGAGATGTCTTTCAGGAGCAGAGATTTGTTCTAGGGGTAGCTTCCCCATTCTTTTCTGGGATCCTTCTTGCCAGAAAACCACCAAAAACACTGGGGAAACAGCTGGTTATTGAAAAGAACCACGGTTGAAAAGAATGGGGAATCAACCCTAGATTTGTAGCGTTCCCCTTCCTTTTCCTACACCCTGTGACCCATGATTTTGAAATAGTCACACCCACTCAATGCGCCTCATGGTCTTGTTTGGAGAAATACTTGCGAGGGTCAGGAGAGGAGAGTGGAGGAGCTTTGCTGTATTATGACTGCGTGTTTTTGTTTACTAAAAAAACAGCGTAGCCTTTTTTGGGATGGTTTAAAAGGAAGCCGGAAGGAAATCGACCATTGCGGGAGTACTCTAAAAACAGACACTCACAAGGGTGTGTTGTTTCGTGGATGGCTGGCTTTGAGAATCAGAACCCCTTTCGGAGGGCACCCTTTGACTTTTGATCTTTAGTTTGGTTAGAACTAGATGGGTTCCACTGGTTGGATTGGCTGTATGCCATCCACTTTCCAGGGGAATGGACTTTCCCAAGACCTATGCCGCCTGCAAGTTTCCACCTTGCTTTCGGTAGTCGGGGTTCCCTATATTTCCCTTTTTGGGCGGTTTCAAGCATCATCTTTTTGGCCCATGAAAGGTGAGTGTCCCTTGGTGGGGGTGTTGCTTTAAGGGGAAGGATAGGCAGCCCTGGTCATCAGATCCGGATTCGGCTCGTAGGTGAGCTGGTGGGAGTGGCCATCAGATCCGGCGGAGCAAGACCGCTTCCTCAGCGGGATAATGGAGAAAAAGCTGGTGTCAAGGGGCGGAAATTTCGCCGGGCGTGCGCGAGTTTACCGAGAAACCACACACCTGTTTGGCTATGAATATAGCAGTTATAGCTATTATTATTTAATAATATTATTATTAGTTTTCTTTTATTATTATTATTATTACTATCATAATTGTTATCTACATATATATGTGTACAGCATTTACATGTATGACGTGATGGTTTGTATCCATTGCGGGTACATGACCACAGCGCTTGAGCTGAGCGGATCTCATGTCACATGACGTCGGATCATTCCGGACCCGCCTTTTCGAGGACTTTTGACAGGCGAAGTATCCAATCAAATGGGGGGACCTGTGACCAATCTGGAGGAGTCTCTGGGTAATCAAATCTTTGGTGCATTTTGCCGAGGGATGTTAGGACTCTAACTTTTTGCCAATGAATGGGTTTCCCTTGAACCACTAAAAGCTAAACTTTCAGCAGGGGAGCAGAAAACCACGGAGGAATGGGGGGCCTGTGACCAATCCGGAGGAGTCTCTGGGTCCGAAACGGAAATTGAGAGGCGTGATCATCAAGCCTAGAATTGAAGCAACTTGCTTGACCGTGGCATTCTTGAAAGTTATGTTTCGGCCATTTTAAGCATGACGCGAACCAAGGATAATGCTCTGTTTTTCTTGGAGGGAATCTTGTTTGAATCATTCAGCTTTTCAGGGGAACCGCGAGACCAGCTAAGGGTACCGACTTCTTTCTGTAGTCTATTTTAGTAAGGGAACCCTGCCAACCAACAAAGGGGTGAGAAAGGGCACCTAGCTGGGGGACCTAGCATTAGAAAGTAGCTTCCGACTTGAACGGCCCAGTATAACCAATATTTTGCCAAATCTTCCCAATCCCCTGTGATCTGGTATGTCAGTAAAGCAACCCAAGCGCTGTGATGAAGTGTTCGCGTGTGTCATCCTAACCTCTCTACTGGAGGACCTAGAATGGAATTTAGTGGGTTCAAAAATTACGGACCCTACAGACCAGGTGACCAGGGGTTAATAAGCCTTGATACATATGCTGGAAATGAAGCCAGCTTCGGCCTAAGGCCTTTTGATGGTTGTGGGAGGGTGTTTCGGGGGTGGTTGGTCCCTGAAGAAAAGGTTGACAGCCGTGCTTGCGAATGAGAGAACCTGAGTCAGCTGCCGAATTCAAGGTACAAATACCACAGCCCAACAGCCATGCCAGGGTGGTGCTCGCAATTTCCAGATCTCCGGCTTCACCTTTTTTTCCCGAAATCGCCTGAACTGGTTTCCTTAACACTCTCTTTGGCACGGGTTTCCTTCCGCATCGTGCAATTTAAAAGAAAAGAAGAAACCCCCCCAAAAAAAACACACATGTAGGAGAGGGTCCGCGGCTTTCTCAAGAGGTTTTTTCCCAGGCTTGATGGTCCCTTTGCTTGGTGCTTTCGCAGCCATCCGGTTCCTTGTTTTTCTGTTTTGATTTGCTGTTTAGTAAGTTTTAAATGGGGGGGGCTATTTAACCCACACCTCAAGCTCATTTAGCATCCGAAAGCGGACAGCCCAGTTTGTCCCCATCCGGAACCCCAAACCCTGGATTCCCGCGTGGAAACGCGGAGAGAGCTCGTGTCCATGGCTGCCGTCGCTCAACAAAGAAGAAGCCGCAATCTCAGAAACCGAGACAATTCCCTGAGGTCTCAGATCAAAAACGAAAAAAAGGGGGAAGGTCAAGTGGCATTCTGCACGAATGGCTCACCAGTCGAAGAAAGGAGCTCACAGGCGCTATAGGTCGCTTGATGGCAGGATGGAGCGGATTTCACCTTGGCTCCCCCGTTTTCCGGCAAATTTGGTCGTCCGGTGAGAGCTCGGGTCGGAAGGGTCGGACTGATTTGACCAGCGCTCACACCCCCCCGCCTGAGCGGCTCCCCCCATTGCGTAGCCTTCTAGGTCCCCCAGTAGTGCCCTTTTATTTTTTTGGGGAGGAGGGTTCCCCTACTAAAACAGACTACAGAAAAAAAGGGTACCCTTATTCTAACCTCTCTGCTGGAGGACCTAGCCTTGGGTTCTGCCAACTGGCCTCAGGGAGATCATACTTAGATGTTGGGACCACGCGCATTTTGACACGTGCCCGGTTCACTGTGTTGAACCAAATGGCTGGCTCCAAGGCGAAACTGTGAAGCTTTCACATGTTCAGCATCGTTGGCGTTGATCTGTCACGGTACATGCCTTGCAGACATATTATATGTACATAATCTCGATATGTATATAGACACATAGGGAGAGACAGAGAGAGAGGGGGAGAGAGAGATTCTGTGAATTATCATCAGAACGATGATTACAATCAAAGCCTAGGCCTATCTGATATAGTCAATTTTTGACCCTGTGTTGGGCGATAATTACACGGGAAACCCAAAGGACAAACCAAAGGGCATTTTTGGGCGGTCCACCCTGCAAAAAAAAGGAGCCGCCCATCTGGTCGTTGTCATGTCTGAGGCGTGGACATTTCTGGATTGGATCCCGTCGAGCCAGTGGCAGGGGCCGCAAGCAACGGCCCGCGCGAGGGCGGGGATGCATTGGAGAACACTGGGCAGTTCTCTCGCTTTTTTGCGGCGTTTTGGTTTGAGTTGGTACCTCTTTCTGGGGTTTCTGTAAGGCAAACCGAATTTTGGGGGGTTCCATCTGGAGCCAAATCCGATATCCTTCTGTGTGACACATCGCACAATGCCCAACTCCAACCTGGGCACAGTGTTCCCCGACGTTTTGGTCACTACCACAGCCACCCACCCAAAGCACAGGAACGCTTGCTTAATTGATTTCCCCCCCCCCTCGCCCCACCAAGCAGAGGTGTGAGATGAGGTGTGCCTTGGACGTCAACCAAAGTGGGCAAGCCATTTGCAAAGCTTCTCTCACCGATTCAGAAACGCAACATCCGCACCTGTCCACTTCTTTACCGGATAAAGCGTATCGTGGTCTACACCCACTTGTTCTTGAAAAGCATATGGGGTCGTGCACAGCCCTTTGAGGAATTGAATCATGTCGACTCTGTACGCGCCACAGAGTCAGACTTTGCGCGCATTTTTGAACAACCCAGGGGTTTGCTTGCAAGAGAGCAAGCCTTGCCAGTTTTCCCAAGTTTTCCCAGGGTTCTGACTGGCAATGGCGCCGGTAGCAGGCGGCCTCTTCAAGTAGTCTCCCTCGCAACATGTTTTCTCCATGCCGGGCCCCCCATACTGATTTTGTCAAGCACAAATTGTGATGAGCTATGCCCTCCCAACTTCTTCATCTGCGAGAAAAAGATGCCTGGCAACAAGGATGGCTTGAGCTCGCTATGTGGAATTCTACAGTCTAGAGATTCTGTTTTGGCAATCACTTTTTTGTTGGGTTTTCTCGGGTTTTGTCCCCCTTTCTTTGAGATCTGTTGGGTCTTGTCGCCTTTTCGGCTTTTTCGAGGTGGGGGTTTTCAAACCTGCGACGCGGGTCCTCAACCCGAGGACTATGAAAAGATGCTCGCGGAGGCGGCGCAAATGCCCAGCCGGGGCGCCGAAGGCTATGAAGCGTCAGGTGGTCCTTTTTGGTGGTTTTGCTCGCAAAACAGATGGCGATTCCTGGTTTACTTTGTTGCATTTTGCCAAGGGCGCTAAAAGGACATCTATGGCTATGAGTCTCGATTGGGGAACCTCCTTGAAAATGGGCATGTGGACATACGTCTGCCACTTTTTTGGTTGCGAGCTTACCGATTTTTTTGGGGTATACCGAGCTCACCGTGATAAAGGTGCTTGACTTGGAGATCCCTGAATTCAGCTTTAGGAATTGTAGTAAAATCGGTCGTAACCCAAATGATGTCCACCGCACCCAGGAAGAATCGCCAAGTTGATGGTGAGCTCTCTAATACACGAGCTCGATGTAAGTGCTTGACTTGGGATAGCGTATTTCAAGCTGTGGATTTGATGAAACATTTCCGCAGAGAATAAGCAGGTTGCATAGCCCAGTTTCTCTCGCGTCGTTCGGGGTGGACAATTTCCCGAAGATGGAAACACCCGAAAGTTAGGGTCTTCCGTAAGCAAACATAGGGTACGGCGTTCCTGTATTTCCCTCTTTCCTGATCTTTTTGGGTAGACCCCTTATTTCTTCCCCAGAATTAGCTCCCCCTTTTCCTTTTTGCTTTTTTGGGGTCCCCTTTGTTTTCAGGCAAACAAAATAGTTTTTTGCTGGGGTCCCAATTCCAGCCAAGATTTAATCGCCGGTCTGGAGGGCTCGAAGGGTCCGTGGAGTGAGCGGCCCGTTTCTCAAGTTGGCGCTTTGCCCTTTTGCCGGTTTCAAAGGGCAGCGGAAACCGATCATAGGGCTAGGGCCGGTCTTTTGACCAGCTTTCTTGTAACGCCACACCCTTTTCGGTTTTCTCATCTCGCGTCCCCTGTTCTGTCGATTTCTGGAAGGGGCTCTGAATGTCAACTATGACGACCTTCATTCAGATAACACCAGCTTGGGTGACAATTTGATTTCTTTGAGCCTTGAGGAAATGGCGACCAGCTCCTTCCAGTCCTCCAATGGATCGCAAAAAAAAATAGAGTAAAGGGAACCCAGGAGCCCCATGATTCAATCCACATCCACGAAATGTGCAACCCTAAGAATCCAAGAGGGCGATGATTTTAGGGTCCTCTTTTAAGATATGAGGAGCAGACAGTGTTGTTGGTATATGGAGGAAAATCTGATAAACAAAACAGGGGTCTCACCAATTGTTCCCATGTTAGCTCGGGGAGACAAGTATTTTGTTGTAAATCATAGCCATATGTTGTGAATCATAGCTGGCTGAAGAACAAGTGAAAGAAGTGATACTTGTGATATTTGAACTATCTAAACCTGTTTGTTTGGGTGGATTGCATTTGAGGAGTGATTCTGACCGCATGGTCCTTACCGGAGAAGAATCACTTGCGCCAGACAGCCAGACAGCCAGTTGTTGTTAGCAACTGGCAGGAGTTGTCAAGAAACTCAGTTGCCTGAGGGTTGGCGGTTTCCCTTCAACCTACCTCTGGCGATGAAGGGGCTAGGGTCCAGCTTTCTTCGGAAGCCTTTTTCTAGAAGGCCCAATCCAGGGTAACGGTTCCATGAGCATACGAACAACTCACAAATTTACTTCCGGATTGATAGTCCATGGCTAGTTTGGGAGGACATGAGGTGACCACCCAACTTTCCCGCCGATTTCCCATGTTCTTTTGGAGAACGCATCCTGGGCGTGATGCTTGAGGAGTCTTTTGCGAGTCTGCCGGTTTGGTGTCCCAGTTGTTTGGCTCCAGACAGTTCGATGCCGGTTACCTGCTTCTTGCACCCAGAAACTTGAAAGTCGGAAGGAAGAGGGGGTTGATTGGACAAGTAAGCTGGGGCTCGGTATTGCAAATCCTCTTGGCTTTGAAGGAATGGTCAGGGCTGGCATATCATGCTGTGTGTGGCAGAATGCACAAGGTAGGGAACCTTTGCGGCCTTCACTTGGTGGTTCGCAGCCAGTTTAGATTGTTTTATTGGTTGAGTGGTTGGGTTTCGGAGTTTTACCCACTAAAAGAAAGTAAGTCATTTTTGTTAATTGTGTTTTTTTCGCAGATCTGCAAAGTGAGAGCCCCATCAAAAGGGAGCTGGTTTTTGGTATCCTCTCTCCCGCTAAGGCCACAGGGAATCCCCACAGGGAATCGTCTGCGAGGCTTCACGCCGCTGCCAGGCAGCATTTCTCAGAGTTGGGACCTCAGTGGCAAGTAATGCGGGCGGGCAGCAAGCTGGAACCGCCAAGCCGTTCTTGGGGCCCAAAGCCTCACTGTTCTTGGATCAAGTTGTTTTCTTTGTGTTTGCTTTTTGTTTTTGTTTGCTTCTGTCTCCATGTCTAGTGGGCTGCAACAAAGAAGCAATTCCTGGAAACCATAGTTGCCAAAAGAACAAAAACTGCAACTTGAAACTGTGGCAGCTTTTCATTCAAAAACCTGCAACTTTCGAACAGTTGCAGCTTTTGCTTGCTGGTCGTTCCTCATAGCAGCGCGCCAACAAAAAAGTGGGCTTGGGAAGGGTGCATCGCCCATAAGCACTTACTTGCATTGTGTGAAGGATGCATATTGGACCTTCAACTGAGTGAATTGTCTTTTCTATAGTATTCCGACATGGGCCTCGAAGCACCTCAGTAGCCTTGAGCTGGCCTGCTATGCGGCCATTGCCGTGAAGTTCAACGGCGTGGCGCATAGAAATGTTATTTTGCAAATTGCGCACGCAACGTGGAAGATCTTGAAGGGACACTTCGTGACACGAAAACTATTTGGCTATCGAATCTAGTGTTGCCCTCCACGTTGTTGGCGCACGTTGTGCTTCATGTCTTTCTTTTTGGCAGTAGAACTCACTTTCCAACCTGGCACGAGACTGTGTCACGCTAATGTTTCAATTGCTATTTCCTTAGCCACTGCCACTCAGTGTTGGGCCAGCGCCCGACCTCTTTCAGCGATTGGCTTTGCGGAGCAGTGTCCCTTGTAGGTTCGGCCCTTGAATCTGTATAAACTGCAAATGTGGAAACAACGGAAAGCAAATGTGCATTAAAACCATTTGTGCGAACAATAGTGCCCAGTGCGCGCATGCGTCAAGCTTGGATCAGTACAAAACCTGCGCCTTGTGACGCCACTTTACGCTCAAAGTACGCAACTTGTACGAGTACGGTTTTCGTTGGGGTCCCAGTGCCGATGTCGGGCACGCAGAATGCGCCCACTCTGCGGCAATTCGCGCACTTAGCTGGACGCGTCATAAAGACTGAAATGTGCCCCGCTCCCGCTGAGATCGTGCTGTAGGGATGAATGGAGGTACCTGTCTCAGAACCTGGCTGGAGAGCAGGCCGTTGCAAACACGGAACTGAGGTAGGCGCGCCTCCAACGGAAGTGCTTGTAGCAGGGGCAACCCGGTGTTGAGGCAATTGGTTAATTTGGAGTTGAGGGAGGTCGTCCCCCATGACACGCTTGCGGTGAAGCAGATGTGCTTCACCCGTGTTGTCGAGCAAAGACATGTCAAAGAATCAAGGGGGCGTCATGTTTGGGGCGAATCTAGCTGAAGAGGCAGATGGCTTCAGGCCAAATCAGGTCCGGCCACAAAACCACACATGCGTGCAGTCTGAAACACGCGCGCAAAAGGCATTCACATGGAGACCGAGCACGCGCGACGCAGGCGGAAGAAACTATTTCTTGACAGTTTGGGCTGCGCGATCTAGCTTCAAACAGAGCGCCAGCATAACTCCAAGTGTAGCCCAGCAAGGCGTACCTGCGGGAACCGTTCAAAAAGCTAAAGTTGCAGCTTTCTCTGCCACAGTTGCAGGTATTTTCAAAGTTGCACTTTTTATTGAAATCACGCCTGGGGGGTCACGACTGGGCGTGATTGCAAAAAAAAACAAACACCGGAGCCCCCAAGCGTGACTTCAAGAGAAAACAACACAAGCCCAGAGGCGTGAATTCAAAAACACGAAGCGGAGCCACAAGGCGTGAATAACAAAAAACAAAAAGCAGGCCCACGGGCATGAATGCAACAAAACAAGGCCCGAACCCCCCCAGCGTGATGTAACAAACAAAAAAACACACAGCTGGACCCCGCAGGCGTGATTTCAAAATCTGCGATGCCAAAAACAAAAACGTCACCGGAGCCGATATATCTCCGTATGTGTGTGTGGGGTGTTCTGCGAGCGTCTAAACACGCCCAAACCGCAAGGGTAGAATTTGGTACCAGGGACGTGTGGTTTTACCTCCGATTGGGTCTGTCGTGTCGAGTCTGGGTTTGGGAGTCGAACATGGGAGGTGTTCTGCGGTTTTAGGAGTGTCGCTTCAGGATTATCATGGGTGGTCTCGTGGTCAAGGTGTTATGGGCGCTGCGATTTGGGGAGGGGGTATGGTGGACACTTGTTCTATGTTGCAACCTCCCTTTGGGGTGTGGTATTTTTTGGGGGTTCGTGGTTGCAAAATGTTGCAAAATATACTCTAGGTGTCGATGGCAGGGGGGGGTTATGGCAGGTCTAGATTTTGGATGCTAGACTGGCCGATTGAGGTGAGCATGAGGTGAACCTGGCATCCATGGAGGCCGCGTCGCATGGCTTCGTTCAAACCAAGACTTCGTCCAAACCCTGACAGTCATGAGTTCGTTCATCAACCTACGCCATGCCGGCGGTTGGCTACGGCCCACACTATTCGGCCTCCCTTTTGCCCCACGGATGCCTTTTCTTTAGGGATCCCCTGCACGTACTATGGGATTCTGACTGCAAAAGTTCGCGATTTTCTGGGGCCAAACTTTCAATCACCACCTCAAAAGGGGCTCCGCCTCATGCTTGCCGGCTTCGCCAAGATGAAAATTGAACGTTTCAAACTTTGGGAATCAAATCAACCCTCCCTTTGGCTACCGTGGATGGCACGCAACCCTGAGCGGAGGTCCCAGACTGGTATTTGGTAGCTGGAACCTCCGGATCTTGCTGTCCAAGCTTCTGGACCTCACGAGTGATGTGGTGGGAAAGCCACGTTTGGTTTTCAATACCTGTGGATCCGTTTGGCCAATCCTGGGGGCGAGGGATTTGATTTCGTGGTTCCAAGTTTCCCCAGTGAACTCTTCCATGGTGTGGTGTCCAGTTGCCTAAAGTCCTCCAAGAAAGGTTTGTGCGTGTCCCTCTCGCGCGTTTGCGTGAAAGCCCTTGGTAGCTCTTTGACCCAGCTAACCTTTCACATGTTTCTTCGCTAAGCAGCACAATGGCCGAAATGATCACACACCTTATTCCCTCATGATCATGACTTGATTCGGTTTTAAGGTACCGAACCACCCCATTTGGATGATTCAGGCCCTCCTGGACGTTCCTTTGCGTACTTTTTCCTGGGTGTTTCACGATTTGGGGCGGTTTTGGCGATTTCGGCGTTTTGCGTGGATGTGTGCTTTTGTGCGGCTTTTTGCGGGCGGTGTGCGGCCATTTGCGGGCGTTTTTGTCCTCTCTTAGGCGTTTGCTGGAATTTGCGGGCGTTGGCGTTGCAAACTGAGGCACAATCAGAAACTACAAGAAACAAGTACTCGTTGGAATGTCCAGGCGCATAGAAACCTTTTCCAGTCAGAGTGACCGACCTAGCGGCTTGTGCGGGCCGAGTCTGAAATGGCTGTGGGTCAAAACCAATGGTATCCCACTTTGGGGTAGGTGAGTTCACCACCCATTCTAGTCCATTTTAGTGGCTCACTTCCTGAGTTCATGAACTTTAAGCTTTTTGGGAAGACCACTTTAGTGGTGTATATATATATATATATAGTTTGGACTTTTTTTGGGCCATCCACTCAGCCGGTGAGATTTTGGTGGCTGCTTGGGATGTTACTGGGGGCTAACCGATGTGGATTTTGACCCATGTTGCCAACTCCGAAAGGTGCGTTTGCGGCAGCGGGGGCCTCGAAGTTTCCAGCTTCAGCGGGATACGATGGTTCCCCCGTGTCTGCCAGGCTCACTGGACCAGCTGGTTGCTGTAGTTAATCTCTTACCTCTCAAAAACACAACTTTTCTCAACTTTTGGGGGGTAACATGGGCTATAGGTCTGTAAAAGATGAAAACTTTCCCAGGGCTTGGACTTTTAAGGGGTAAGTAATAGATGGGCTGACATTTCGGTACACTCACCAAGAGTAATTCCCGCATCACCATTTCTTCCTGGACCCTCTTGAGGGTAAAAAGCACTCTTACAGGCACCTTCTGACAGCCGAGACTTGCACCTGCCGGATCCAGTATGTCTTTTTTGATGAATTTGTCTTTTGGCTGCATGCAATTAAAGGGCAAACAAAAATGAAACCAACTAAAAATATATTGACTGGTTGATTGTGAGACAAAATCATATTGATTAGGATCCGAAACCCCAGTCTGGGGTCCCGAGTCTTTCCCCAGGAGAGGGATAAACTGACCCCTCTCAGCAAATCCATTTGCGACGAGTTCGCGCGCCCGGTGGTCCGATGTGTTTTGTTTCTCCCATGTCGGCGTGGCAGTGGGCGCCCAACTTGCCAACGGGAGTTTGTTTTTAGAGGGGAAGATCAGACCCAGAAGTGGGGTCCTCCACCCATCGGCCCATGGGTCCCACATCCAGCTGAGCAGAGAAGTTCGCCGATCCCCATGGAACGTTGCCTGTTATCTTGACCCGGTTTTAGGCGCTGCTGCCTGACAGCACGGCATAATTGCTATGTAAACAGGTTTACATTCAGGTTTGGGGGGAGTCCACCCTCAATCCTCAACACGTTTGGGGGGGCCGAGCTATCTGATGTGTTTTTTTCCTGTGAACGAGTCCCAAACAAAGTGTCTTGGCGAAGGCACTGCCTGGACATCATTGGACCTGCAGTGCGGCGAACAGCAGCCAGGGGGCCTAGTGCGCGATTGGACCTGCTTGGGTTTAGCTAGAAGCTTCCAGAAATCGGTTCCAGCAAAATCGGCGGATGCACATCCGACCCACAGCACGGTTTGACATGAAAGTGAGAATCAAATTAGTTAGCAACAGCAACAACT